TGGCTTAGTGAGGGAAGCTCCACCTGTGGCTTAGTGAGGGAAGCTCCACCTGTGGCTTAGTGAGGGAAGCTCCACCTGTGGCTTAGTGAGGGAAGCTCCACCTGTGGCTTAGTGAGGGAAGCTCCACCTGTGGCTTAGTGAGGGAAGCTTCACCTGTGGCTTAGTGAGGGAAGCTTCACCTGTGGCTTAGTGAGGGAAGCTTCACCTGTGGCTTAGTGAGGGAAGCTCCACCTGTGGCTTAGTGAGGGAAGCTCCACCTGTGGCTTAGTGAGGGAAGCTCCACCTTGGCTTAGTGAGGGGAGTTCCGCCTTCCGCTGGTTGATCAAAGACCACGGTACTCAGGGCTCTCTCCCTCTCCAGGTAAAGGGCAGTGGATGGTGGCGGAGCTGGGAGGCGTAATGACCGTGGGAATGCCGCCCGCCTTGATAACGTGTCCTCACCGCCCGCACCTCCTCCTATATGTTATCTCAACCTGCACGTATCTCTCTACCTGTCCTCTTGTCTGTCACTTCCTTGTCACCCATCACTTACCCCTCACTACCCACCTCTTCCTGTGCGCCCACCAACAAATTCCAGTAGAAATAATTAACTACCTGTGTGATGAATAAAACAGTCTGGCGTTGGCCAAATAAAATATTAAAGTTGCGGGACGCCACCTGATCGACCAAGCTGTAGTTGTGTTACCCAGCAGTGGTTGACAAGCAGTAAGTACACAGCATCAGCTTGGATGATAAAGTTGTCACTGAGCAGGGGAGGTAGGAGGAGGCCCTGGGTGTGCACATCAAAACTTACACGCCGTGTAAGTGTTTGCAAACATTGGTGTTAAGGAAGTGTAAACAAGAGACTGTAAGCGTCCCATGTTTGTCTGAATGATATTAAATCCTTCTATTAAAAGTTATATCATGCATTAAAGGTTTGACAAATACTGTTAAAACCTACCTTAAGACAGTTGTCGGTAGAAGCCTCTTGTAGAAGACTCTTGTCAGTAAACATAGTAATAATTTTAATGCTATAATATTAAGTTTGTTTCTTGTAATGTTTGTCTGATGTTCCTAGATGACAACCTTAGTCTTGTTAATTTCACTAACCATCTTAACTTAGTCCCAACATCTACATCTTGGGGAGTCTGGGTTTAATAGGCTAGACAGATGCCTTGTCTCGTCCCCAAATAGCGCTGGCCACAAGCAAGTCATCAGCTTAATATTCCTAACTGCATATCGAAAGAATGCAAAGATGTTTGACATCACCCATCACAGGGGCAGGTAGACGCGGCAAACTCGACCTTGTGGGGGAGGGCAATACGTATCAGGTTTGTTTACCACTATCTCATTACTGAATTGCTAATATTCAATAGGGCGGTCGGACAGAATGACGGATCGGCTGCCGGCCAGGTATAGATGGTGGAGTGTTCCCTGGCCGCACTCCTGCAGTAAGTCGCAGACCAGACCAGCGTTCCTGCTCCCTCACGTCCTATCACTATCTATAACCACACCTCTCAAGCATGACCCGAGACACTCTCTCTCTCTCTCTCTCTCTCTCTCTCTCTCTCTCTCTCTAATGAGATAATGAGGTGGAAGGTGTACAGGGCGGGGTCAGGAGGGGTCACAGGTCATAATAGTATGCAGGTTGCCCCACTCCTCCATCACTCCCCCCTCCCTCAGTCTTGTAACTCCTCATTATTGTAACTCCCGGTTGCTATAACAGTATAACTGACCTCCAAGTGGCCATACTGACATAATAGTGGCCATACTGACATAATAGTGGCCATATTGATAGCATAGTGGCAATATTGAGAGCATAGTGGCCATACTGATAGCGTAGTTATCATAATGGCAGTGCAGTGTCCATACTGACAATGCAGTGGCCATACTGTCAGTGTAGCGGCCATACTGACAGCATGGTGGCTATACTGACATCATAGTGGTCATGCTGTCAGTGTAGTGTACACTCTGTACAGCAGTCAGTATAACCAGCTCCCCGTGGGCTGTGTTTGAGCACTAAGTTTAAGAAATTTATTCAGTGGGCGCCAGAACCCTCGTTAGCTGTTATCTCCGCCATCAACACAGCCCCGCGCCTTAACATATTATCTCCTGTATTTATCTCGCAATATTTGTTTTTAAAAGTCTCTCGAATCCCCGTCCTGGTCCATTATAACTCACCCGGAGCTTATTCTCACCACAAGACACTGACTCGATGCTTCACTCACTGGTTTGGGATCCGCATTTCTCTACCAGTTCCTCCTCTATATCAACTTATACTCTGAACTTCATTAAATACCTAAAATATTACACCTCTTGTACAGTCGCGGGAATGAATCTCCGAACTTACTTAGCCTAACTGTCACCTGGTGCGGGTATACTGTTTTAACTCATTTGGGGTCGATACTAGTTCAGTTTGGGAAGGAGTGAACTTTTGAACCCCGACTATACATGTAAAGTATTCTCACCACAACTGCATCTACACCCTTGTTACACCTACAACACCTAGCTACGTGTTATACGCTACACCTCTTCTACACATAGAATACTCTCCTCTTGAGGGATCACGTGAAGATTAGGCACCCCAACTTATTTTACCGAATGATTAAACACCCTAACCTAACCTAACCTAATCTAGCCACACTTACTCGTATCATTTACACTCCTCCTCTACACCTTTATTGTTTACATCTCAGGCAGTACACCTCACGCCGTTCCTCTTCTCCAGAACCAATTTTTCATCCCACAAATGAGTGTAATTTCCTCTGTAATTTATCAGTTCCTTTCCATACCCAAGCCTTTCTCGGGCCACCTCTTGACTAAATTTATTATCTATTGTCTCCTCGCCGTCTTTCCTCCATTGACCCGCGTCTCATTTTTTTATGTTTGTTGTATTTTTATCGTTCATTTTTTGGGTTGAATGTAGCAAGAGTAATGTAGTGGTGGATGAGTTTTGGTTGTGGGAGCCAATGGGCGCCTTTCTTCACTGTTCCGCACGAGCTCTGGTGATGGGGGCGGCCATGCTGTACGTCTCCAGGCTCTTCGTCCATCGGCGGCCAGTCATGATGAAAGCTCGCTACGCCTTCGAGAATCAATTAACTTTTTAACTCGAGGGATTTTCATGTCACTGCTAACGAGGGTCCGGTTATATGGCGTCCAGCTGGGTCGCCTTCAGGGGGCAGCCCAGGCGAGGCTCGTGTTGTGGTCGAGGACGTCACTTGGGTTTACCATTCGTATACAATTTTATCCCAACACAAACTATCATGCATGTTGTGTTCTCGTTAAGTTATAGACACATATGATAGAGGGTGAATTATACGAGACGCTGTATGTATGTATGTTGCTAACAATTAGTAGAGGAAGATTTCTGCGTTAAGTTTTACTCTTAACATTTACCGTAGTTCCACGTGAGTCTGAAAGCAATTTTATTTATCAAGTTAGATACATTTTTCCCACCCAGTTTAGGTCGATAATTTGACATAAAAAAGGTACGAATCTCTGAGAATTTGTCGAGTAAAAGACGCAACCTGTCACTTATTATCTTCCAACGTCACACTCATCATGACCTCCATAGTGAGTGTTTGTTCCTCTGCTACTGATTGATTTGATAATAATCATTTGTCGCGTAGAAAGATGAATAAAGCCTTGACCGTATGGGAGGAAAGACCAATGAATACATAATGGGTGGAGAGGTGTGTGTGTGTGTGTGTGTGTGTGTGTGTGTGTGTGTGTGTGAGTGAGTGAGTGAGTGAGTGAATGAGTGCGTGCGGTAGTAATAGTTTACAGATTATTAAGATGGTAAGATAGTGGGCAGTCAGAGTTCAACTTCTAAATGAACAGTTAGTTTAGGTTTGGTTAGGTTAGGTTATTTACGATCCTATTAGCAATGAGTTTCAGAAGTCAATTAAAAGTAAAAACTTACAAGTGAACAGTCAGGAGCTTGGGAGTAGCGGAGAAGCACTGTGTGAGAGGAATGTTGGTGGGCACCTGAGTGTGGCATGTGCATCCATAATAGGTGGGGTGTGGCCCAAGGCCCAGGGGTCAGCGTGGTGGGGATGGTTTACGGGCAGCCACACTCCGAGCTGCAGGGTCCCTTGATGAGCCACCTGATGGATGTGTGGCAGCTCCCGTGGTGCGCCCAGCTCGTTGGACCCCACTCCTTCTCCCAACACGACTTGGTACGCCCACACTAAACTGATCCCTCGGACGGTAGCTACGTGTGTGTGTGTGTGTGTTCATGAAAGTTTTAATCGTCCCTGTGAATACATATAAAACACAAATGAGCGTAAGACGTTAATGTAGGAAGGCTGCAGCTTCATTAACAAGAGATCAAACGATACTTTGTTACTATACCAGTACTGTGGTTTTCCCGCCCGTCATGCTGTATAGTAAACGTATAGAACTAAAGTACATATGGTCTCATTAGAAACGAATTATAAAGTTAACAGTGAGGAACAGTAATGTACGGAAGAAGGTTAAGTACAGCACTTGGGTTCATATCTTGCAGTTCGAGTAACAGTTCAGTTTTGATTCCCTGGTAAGCATTCAGAAGAGGATGGCAAAGCTCATTTCGGGCATTAGTAACCTTGAGCATAGAGACAGATTGAGAAAAGTTAATTGATATTATCTTGAGAGACGTAGAGTGAGGGACGATATGTGGAGGTGGGAGACGGGGTTAGATAGAGAGTCTTGAATTAGACAAAGTTATATTTAGGTAAACATTGGTTTGAAAGTTGTGGAGTAGAGCAAGTTACCAAACACCACCATTAACTTGAACTCGCTGAGAAACTTCACATCTGAGTATGGACCAATAGACGTGCTGCAGTTTTCTTCATTTATACTGTATGTTATGTTATGGTCACCATCACCCGGGTACTGGTCTAGTTGTCGAGTATTATTGGGTCTCAACTTGGGGTCAGAGAACACCCCGACAACTTTCTACAGGTAAAGTGCGAGTCTTGTGTTATTTACGTTTTAGACGAACATTATAGTTATATTTATATGAGACTTGTTGTGTTGCAGGAGGTGCTGGCAGCGGCGTCCACAGTGGTGTTCACTGCCACAAGAGGTCGTGCCAACTTTCGCAGCGTAACAGTGCTGGTGCCACCTACTTGGACCACGGCGTCATGTCCACTCCTGGAAACAGTCCACAACGCCACGGGGGAAACCTGGGACAACGCTGATGTGCGAGTGACGCAGGAGAGACACCCGCAACACGGACCCCGGCCCTGGACACTCCACACGCGGGGCTGCGGCCAGAGCGGCGACTACGTCTCCCTCGGACACGAACTTCTCCTGCAGAACAATACACTGGCCAACGGTGAGTCCCCCCTTCTGTATCACGTGTTTTGAGTCTACCAACAGTTCCGACTGATGTCAGTCTGTCCCAGCTTTAAAAACAAAACAAATATTAGAACTTTCATCATACTTATATCAGTGTAATCAATATTAAGTGACCTTACGGTTAACTGACCTTACAGTTAACTGACCTTACATTTAACTGACCTTTCTCATTGATGGATGGCAGAGTTTGACCTTCATGTTCATCACTTTTATTGGGTTAACATGTCTTAATAACGGAGGCCTTCTGGTCATGACAGACCCAACACGTTTGATCAAAGTCATTCAGAAGAGTCCTGTAAGAATTCAACATAACACTTAGTGACCATAGACCATCGGCCACACTGCACCCTGGACGTCTGAAACCTCTGTAAATAATGAATAAGAAGATAAATCCCTTTGGTCGCGTCAGTGTTGTGCAGTACATCAGGAGGAGTGAATATATGCTAATGGTTGGGTGGCGTCATGGGGTAATATTGTGGTTCAGTGTTGGGTCCACTCGTCCCTCCCCCCCCCTCACGGACACCAAACACACCTCCATTCTCCGTACAACGTAAAGTTCGATCATCGGGGCAACTTATCGCATCAAATCTGCACAATTCCAGCCTCACCAAACCCAGAGATTAACAAAAAACAAAAACAAACTAAAAGACCCCAAACTCTGATTCAATAAAGTACAAGGATGACGTCACATAAATCGAAATATGAAACCCCTGTCAATTCTTACAACGTTATTAGTTAATTAGTAGGATTGTCTTAATATTACTCAGATGAAGAATAAATCAAACGCGTACACTCAAGGCCAGTGTTGAGTATCTCTGAGTGACTGAGGAGAACATGACGAAACACGGACGCGTAGTTTAGTCCTGTGAAGTTATAATACTGTAAAGGAAAAACACAGATTACATATCATAAATTAGTTCAGAGGCGACCGGTCAACTTGGTGGTAAAAAAGACTGTTCACCTGTAATAATTAACACTTACAGTAAATATTCAGAATGTTATTGTCACTAGGAAAAGGTAAATAACTATATGTTTAATGTCTCCAGATACACAGTGACCTTTCTAACACCCTGAATAAATGTCAGTGTAATTTGCCGTCCATTATTTCTCGACATATCTTGTTTTCCACAACGTGTAAAATCTTGCCTGTGAGGTAATGAAGTGTTACTCACACCTTATACTATATGTTGCTACTCGACTTAGAGGGTGAAAGGTATAAGGGTCAGAGTGTAGCGTCGAGGGCAGGGTAAAGAACGTTGAAGTTGATTGTATAAGGCTCAGGGTGTTGCATCAAGAGTAAGGTAAGGAGCGTTGAAGTTAAGGTGTACCATAAGCCGCCAGAGGGGGATGGATGGTCCCAATGAACCTAGATGCCTCTGTCACGCATCTCCCCTTACACCAGAGACACGAGACTCTTAGGGAACCACAAATATTGAGCCCCACACCCTATCTCCCAGAGTAACTCCTCCCGGGGACTAGTTTGAAGCTGCTTTACATATTAAAAGAAGAACGATATGGATGACATTTGTAGATAGGCCACACAGGTACTCTTCTCCTTTATCAGTACCCCAGCCTCACCATCCATTGATCTACACTCCCCCCTTCCTTTCATACCCACTTTATTTATGACTATTTTAGACTATGTATACGTTTCCATGTTAGGGAGGACTTCAGTGTTCTGGTCACACAGGATAGACTCAGCATCTATTGTAGTGAGAGAGACCGTCAACCTTCACATTGGTTGTGGGATTATGGCTGTTTTTAGCATTACCGATGTCTCGAAAACATGATTGAAGGCAGTGGACAGTTCCTCATTTTTTTAGTGGAACCAAACATGACAATTTTAATACGCATCATCACCACCATCATCCTCATCATCACCACCATCATCCTCATCATCACCACCATCATCCTCATCATCACTGTACAGAATATGCCGATGTAGGTAACTCCAAGCAGATCATGCTTGCGTCTTATTCTCTACTGAGCAGATACCTATTTAAACTACATGTAGTTTCTTTACTTATGAGTCGCCTATAAATCATTATCTGGTCGAAGAAATAGTACGAGCACCTGGTATTATGTATGTGAAGCTGTCATGAACGAGATTTACCGGATCGTGACAGACAGAGACACCTGAGGACTGTGGCGGATATGTAAACTTACCACGATTAAAACAGAACGACAACAACGTTGTCTGTTGGTGGATGTGAAGGATCTCCTAGACTCCTCACCGCGGATCTGAACGTCCCCTTTTACAAGTCATAGAAAACTCAAGGCTATTCTTATTAGAGAACGGCTTGGGGGGGGGGGGTGGAAGGGAAGCGGCCCAACCATTTTTCACCCTTATGTATACATCTTTCTAGAGGCCAAAATACCAAACTGGCTGGTTAACGCCGTTTATACAAAGCTCGAGGAGGAACGCCATATTTTGTAATCAGACGCACAATGGGGTATTCCTTCTTACAGGGATTTTTATAGTGGCATGTCCCCTGGATAGCGCCACTTAGGCGATATTCAGGCGTTGTTGTGGCGGAAACTGGCGTCAATTATGTTTGCTTCATCCCAACCACTCGGTGACAATAAACATTTTATTGTGGCCATCTCCCTCCACGTTTTTCTTTGTGGTTTATTTTTTATAACAAGAGGTTCTTTGTGAGGTTATTGGAATGATTTAGCATCCTTTTATATCACCTTGGAGAGAGAGAGAGAGAGAGAGAGAGAGAGAGATGCTTCACGGCCATTACCACGTCACCCAACTGTGTGTTTCATTATCTGGCTGCACAATAGATGAGGGTGTGGGATGTGCTCCTGCTGGCCCCCAGGCTGGGCCGTGATCAGAGGGGGCATTAATGACGGGGTTTAGAGGCTTCTCAAGCTAAAAGAGCATGTGACCAACAGACTTTTACAGGTGCACTAAACTCCTGCAAAATGATGATATTTAACGCGTCTCAAACTCTCCGTATGACTTCAATAATTGCTTGTGGGGACCTTGGACACTGTTACACTCTTTCTGACCACTGCAATGATTTTACAGAGGCAAAATTTTAGAGGGATAAACAGCATGGTTCCCGACTCCTGGCGGGCTTGAAACACTCCACCAACACAATCGAGCAAATTTGTTCCGGTCATTGTGTAGAAGATGACCCAGAATCTTGGCGTGTCAAGATAAAGATTGTAATTTTCTTGTTCATGTCAGATAACTGTCGTTCACTGATTAACAAGACATATTAACATCAGAAGACTGGATGACTGCAGCCGAGTGTGACGATAAGAGAACATTAATTGTCATGTCAGCTTGAGTAGACGTTATTGGGTGGGTTATTACAGGCGTGTTTTGCTCTCCCCAGAACTTGATGACCCATTTGTTAACCACAGCCAGCAGCCACCTCCTGTGTGGTGCTCCAGCTGCTGCAGGACCTATGCTTTGTAGGGAACATACTGTGGGTTGGGTTGCGGTAGACGTAAGTTGGAGTGTGGGCGTGGGTTGGGTTAAGACATGGGTTTGGGTATAGGCAAGGATTGGAGTGCCATTGGTGTGGTTGGGTGTGGCCACGATTAAGATGCAGGCTTTGGTTTGGGTGTGGACGTGAGTAGAATGCTGGCGTTGTTGACTTGCTTAGGAGGCGTGAGTTAGTGTGTGGACAAGAGTGTGAGGACTGCCGATACTCCCCCCCCCCCCAGTATTATGGGGTGGAGGCCTGGGTGCTCTCCTCACACCACTGCCCCGGCCGTCCAAACACTCCGCCTCGGGTATTGAAAGGAAGAGCGGTGGGCCGGCCCCTGACGAGCCCACAATGTCCTCGTAGCCAAAACTTTGACGACGTGACAGCAAAATTATGGAGTCCAAAAACGATTCGTAGAGCACGTTAAATGACCTTATTATTTGTGAGGTAATGTTGTTGTAGACAATAACAGCTGGTTTGTTTCTTCTTGCGCTTTATATACTGTACGCTTTTGTGAAGATTATCTGCAACTTATTAAGAGAAGCTTACATAGGTTTAACTCTGGGAATTGAATGAAGGTAGACATTTTGTTGCTATAGTTGACGGCGATTCTTTCCTTGTCATGCAGTGTTGTGTCACCAGCCGCCCCACGCCCACACTTGTGAGAGACGCCAATCACCGACATTTAAGTAGTTGGGTGAATGGGTAGAGAGTGACTTGGGTGAGAGGATAGAAGGATGGGTGGATGGTAAGTAACGGGCCGCTCTCAGCCCCCGGGAGGCCCTGAAGCCGTCTAACTCACTACCACCAACCCTATAATTTTCGTCGCCAGTGTCCCCGGGTGGCACATGCCTGGTTGTTAGAGGTCATTAATTGGTTATTAGTAGATATTTGGGCAAGGGAAGGTGCCATCTAAAAGCCAGGTGATAAATGGTCAACTCTGGCCGTTACTGAGAGAAAACCTCCCTTATTTAGGTTAGTTAGATTATGTTTAGTGTTCCAGTGTCTTGTGTGTTGTTGGGCATTTGTTACACACCGAAGCATCATAAGCGACTCACTGCGACACATGGAAGATGGACAAAGGCGAGAAAATTAGCTACTGTTTTCCCTTCGTCAATGAAATCGATCCTGTGGTGAATTATCATGGTGAACCGATACACGCCACAGTGTTTGACTTCCCATACTGGTAGCAAGAAATACATGCCGAGGACTCTTAATAACTGCGGGTTAGGTTGGGTGAGGTGAGGTTGGGTTGGGTTGGGTTATTTTTAGCTGCGTTTCGTCAGCTCCTCTTGACTGATTGAAGCTGCCAGGTGTACGACTGGGCCAAGACAACACCCATGAAGTTTTTTGTTTTCTAGTTCTGTTACCGCCACTGTGTGTGTGTGTGTCTACAACTCCTCTCAGGTTAAATAAGATCATAACTATCAAAACTCTGTATACTAAACGTGGTAAAGGAGTGACTGGAGTCAGTTGTAGGTAGTAGGTAAATTGGTCACAGTTGATTGTTGTGGTGATGGTGTGTCTTGTTGGTCTACTCAGTTATTATTTTATTACCAAATTAAATGTAGTTATAACTTTATGGACAATCAAATGCAGTTTTTATTACTCTGGGGTCTTCCTTGTGTTGTGTAGGTGGGTCATCATCACCTGTTGCTCCAGTGTCCCCGACATAACTTGTGGACGGAAAAGGTTAATAATTCACTTCTTGGTCACTCTACCGTAATATACAACTTGTCAACTTCAGGAGCTGTTTTAGATGTGGGCAAAAGATCAAGATCACAGCTTTTGGTAAAGTCCTTTAAGGTGTGAATTGGCAGACTTGTCTCACTTCATGGAATACTAATGTAGTTATTTGTTGTTAGTAATGTGGTGAACAATATACTCGTATGTTTGTTAAGTTCATAATGTTTCTGTTGACAGGTCGACTGGTAGCCCACGAGTGGCTGCAGTACCGGTATGGAGTGTTCAAGGAGCGCGGGGAGATAGGCACCCCTGTCCACCCTCCTCATTACCGGGCCCCGGACGCGTCTTGGAAGCCTAACACCTGTGCCAACGTGCCCGTCGTGGCCAACCCCAGCTGTGACCCAGAGAACCTCTCCTGCCCCATCATACTCACGCAGGAGGACAACCCAGATCTCACCAGCTCCTTCATGGCCTTCCCCGAGGTGTCGTCGGTGAGTACCTTGGCCTTACCGCCCTTAAATATACTTTACTGTTCTACTTAATAATTACATTCATTTACTTGTCGTTATCTGGTGTTGGCATCAGGGACTTGTGATTCACAGGGTGTGGCCAAGACAGTGAGGTAGTTCAAGGCAATAACTCAGTGAATGTGATGGCTTATGGCTGTGTGGCTGTACGCTGTTCACCTGACACATTGCTGATGTTATTATATGTACAGTACAGGTTATAGAGCGAATAACCAGGCAGATGAAGAACTGATATATATTAAAGATTCCAGACTGTGTTGCTACATTCTGCCATCTGGAAATAAGGTTAACAGTTTGTGGACTTGGGTGTTAGATTGAAATACAGTGAAAATGTTAGTGGGAGAAAATTTCTGAATTGAGAGTTTTGGGCGTAACTCGGGCAGTGCAGTGCGAAGCTGAAGAGTAATCCCGGGTTTTATTTTTAAGTTAACACATCCTCACTATGGCCTTGTGTTGATGCTCTCGTGGTGGCATTATAGTAGCTTTCGTTTTCTTGTTATCCTATATCGCAATAGTCCTGTTGCCATTAATCACCCTCCACAAGTCGCACCTCACAACACAACCATTAGTATTTAGTGACCTGAGTAATTAGGAGGTGATGTAAGCCAGCAGTGAGGCGGCAGAGAACACACACACACACACACACACACACACACACACACACACACACACCACAACCGGAAGTAACGACCCTGGAAGCAAGGAACTAGTCAAGGTCAAGTCAAGATCACATTCAAGTAACTGTGAACTTTGCTATAAACGACTGATCAGTGTTGCCATTATCCTCTCTTAACTTTCATCAGATACATCTGGACAAACTATCCAGTCCCACTTCTTAGGTCTATGAGAGCGTTATTTACTTCTTTAACTGATCATCGGAGACTTATTAATATTAGTGTAGGTTCTCACAGCTTAGTTACACTAGAGGATGGCGAGTGTTTCGTCAACGCTAGGACACAGATACCTTACCGAGACGTTAGGAAAGGTTGGGTTTGGGGAAGGAGGTGCGGGTGAGATAAATAAACTGTGCAATAAGGCATGGATGAGCTTCGTCAACACGCAGGAGGTGCGGGTGAGATAAATAAACTGTGCAATAAGGCATGGATGAGCTTCGTCAACACGCAGGAGGTGCGGGTGAGATAAATAAATGCAATAAGGCATGGATGAGCTTCGTCAACACGCAGGGGTGCGGGTGAGATAAATAAACTGTGCAATAAGGCATGGATGAGCTTCGTCAACACGCAGGAGGTGCGGGTGAGATAAATAAACTGTGCAATAAGGCATGGATGAGCTTCGTCAACACGCAGGAGGTGCGGGTGAGATAAATAAACTGTGCAATAAGGCATGGATGAGCTTCGTCAACACGCAGGAGGTGCGGGGTGAGATAAATAAACTGTGCAATAAGGCATGGATGAGCACGCGTGCACAATAAGGCATGGATGAGCTCGTCAACACGCAGGGGTGGGTGAGATAAATAAACTGTGCAATAAGGCATGGATGAGCTTCGTCAACACGCAGGAGGTGCGGGTGAGATAAATAAACTGTGCAATAAGGCATGGATGAGCTTCGTCAACACGCAGGAGGTGCGGGTGAGATAAATAAACTGTGCAATAAGGCATGGATGAGCTTCGTCAACACGCAGGAGGTGCGGGTGAGATAAATAAACTGTGCAATAAGGCATGGATGAGCTTCGTCAACACGCCAACCGCATTTCACATTATAATTATTAAGTCTTCGTGACCTGAGCTGTTCCATTAGTGGTGAGGAGTTGTCTAAGGGCGGTGGGCGGAGTTACTGCCGCCGGTGGCTGCAGAGCAGAGATTTTACCTATCTCCAGCCACCTCACCTGTGACGGCAGCCACCTCACCTGTGACGACAGCCACCTCACCTGTGACGGCAGCCACCTCACCTGTGACGGCAGCCACCTCACTTGTGACAGCGGCCACCTTACCTGTGACGGCGGCACCTCACCTGTGACGGCAGCCACCTCACTTGTGACAGCGGTTAACACAAAGGATTGAAGCATCCTACCAAAATGCTTGCCAGCCAGACCTAACTTGATCTCATGCCGGGCGATGCGTTTCTCAACTTCATGACCTTGACCTCTGACCTTCTGACAACAGTTCTCGAAAATGTAAGTTCCTGTAGCAACTATGAACGCTGTAGGTTTTGCCGTTCTCGACGTGTGGTGTGGACTCAGTCAGACAGAGCAGATAATAATTGACTGCTGACCGACCTCTGCTCAGCTGGCATGAATAATAACATGGAGCCAGACTCTTCGACATTCATACAATAAGATTTTCTTCTTAATTCAGGGAGTTAGAACTGCAGTAACTGTCTCGGCTGGTTTACGGCACCATGATGGCGGCGATAATAGCACTGTGAGACAACCGCCACCAGTTGTGTTCTCACGCCTCCGCAGTTACGGGGGAAGATTACTAAGTGGTTGATGTTCCTATATCTCAATGTTATCCTCTGTTAAAAATTTAACGTTCAGATCTACCAGCATCCTCACGGTGCACTATAGAGGCAAGATGCCTTATGCTGGGGAATAATTCGTCATTCAAAACAAGTATTGACTGGTATTGTTGGCAACTTATCTTATATTGTTTGTTTTTTATGGCAAGAGAAGGGAACCGTGTATTTTTGTATTCCTAAATGACATAGGTGTGGCCTACATGAGTGTATACTGTGAATTATATGTTTACATGTGACGATCTTGAGAAAATAAAGTCGACTGTTCGTGTATATAATATGATGTAAATGTTAGGTTTTTGAATGACCGCTCCAGACGCTACACAGGTGAACAAAGACGAGAATGGAAGTCACGTACAGTTAATTCAATTGCATCTTGCCTGAGGGAGGAGTGAGGCGGAGGTAGTAATTGGGGAAGACGAGAGGGAGAGGAGGATGAAGGAGATAGGAGAGGTGGAGGTAAGGATAGGAGAGTAGATGAAGATGAAAACGGGAAGATGGGAGACGAGGGAGATTGAAGTCAGAGCAGCGGGAAGAGTGTGAGGGTGGACGAGCTAGAGTGTGTGGGTGGACGAGCTAGAGTGTGTGGGTGGACGAGCTAGAGTGTGTGGGTGGACGAGCTAGAGTGTGTGGGTGGACGAGCTAGAGTGTGGGGATGGACGAGCTAGAGTGTGGTGGACGAGCTAGAGTGTGAGGGTGGACGAGCTAGAGTGTGAGGGTGGACGAGCTAGAGTGTGTGGGTGGACGAGCTAGAGTGTGTGGGTGGACGAGCTAGAGTGTGTGGGTGGACGAGCTAGAGTGTGTGGGTGGACGAGAGTGTGTGGGTGGACGAGCTAGAGTGTGAGGGTGGACGAGCTAGAGTGTGGTAGCTAGAGAGGTGGACGAGCTAGAGTGTGAGGGTGGACGAGCTAGAGTGTGAGGGTGGACGAGCTAGAGTGTGAGGGTGGACGAGCTAGAGTGTGAGGGTGGACGAGCTAGAGTGTGAGGGTGGACGAGCTAGAGTGTGAGGGTGGACGAGCTAGAGTGTGAGGGTGGACGAGCTAGAGTGTGAGGGTGGACGAGCTAGAGTGTGAGGGTGGACGAGCTAGAGTGTGGGGGTGGACGAGCAAGAGTGTGTGGGTGGACGAGCTAGAGTTTAAGCGTGGATGTACTTTAAAGAGTTGGATGACGAGGCGTGACGGTGTAGCGGACTCGTGAGGGGTAGATGGCCTCCTCTACCAATAATTGGCCTCATAAATAAGCGTGAGTGTGACCTCCTTGTGGGACCCTCAGCCGCCTCTGTCTGACAAGATGGCGGCCGCTGCTGATTGTGGTCAGGATGCTGGAGTGTGGCTCAGGCCGACGGAACCAACAGTACTCCCTGCAGGTATAGACAGTACTCCCTGCAGGTATAGACAGTACTCCCTGCAGGTATAGACAGTACTCCCTGCAGGTATAAACAGTACTCCCTGCAGGTATAAACAGTACTTCGGACATTTGTAATATCTTGTGTCGTCGTTGAATTATTTTTCGTATATTTCAATCGTCATCAAAAATAAATTCCTGCGCCACGGGGAACATTCTTCTCGCGGACACATTAGTGAGGCTGTCATGGTGGTTGCCAGGTAAACGCTGAAGTAATTAACTTTGATAACTTCACCTAAAAAGCTGAGGCAGTTGTATTTGTTGCCCCATCTTGCCTCATGATGCCATTACCTCTCTACTGTATATTGGAACTGTATCACTCACAGAAACTTGTTTTTACTTATTGTATAAACTCTGTGTTGTGTTGTACCACACAGTGCTGGCCAGAACAGCAACATCACCGCTGCCCCTCGGGCCCATCTCCGCGTCTTACGCAGTAAAAGATGGGAATGTAATATCATGAAGATAATTGCGCATGTCATGGTCGTCTTGGTACCCCGCTATGATTTATGGTAATTGTGGCGAGCAGGGGCCCCGGCAGGTCCTCGGGGGGAGAGCTGCCTGGGACGTGTAACGAGGTTGTTCCTATGCCGGTCATAGTTGACTACCACCAGGGGACAACCACCGCCTGCTACCACTCCTTGTTTATGTGACATTGCAACGTTCACCTGGCTGCAGATACTGTACAGTACAAACGTCATATACTGTACAGTAACACCCACAGTACACACGTCATATACTGTACAGTAACACACACAGTACACACGTCATATACTGTACAGTAACACACACAGTACACACGTCATATACTGTACAGTAACACCCACAGTACACACGTCATATACTGTACAGTAACACCCACAGTACACACGTCATATACTGTACAGTAACACCCACAGTACCCACGTCATCTACTGTACAGTAACACACACAGTACACACGTCATCTACTGTACAGTAACACACACAGTACACACGTCATATACTGTACAGTAACACACACAGTACACACGTCATCTACTGTACAGTAACACACACAGTACACACGTCATCTACTGTACAGTAACACACACAGTACACACGTCATCTACTGTACAGTAACACCCACAGTACACACGTCATTATCGCTCACTGCTTACTGGTGACTTAAAATCTCTCCATAATTCAGTTGTTTTTAATTAATCTATCATCGTTATCATCGTGTTTTCAATGTTGTGGTGTGTTGTGTTGCAGGTGACTCATCTATGTGATGAAGGCACCCATGACCGAGACGCCCCGACCCGTCACAACCTCCTCTGCTCCGGCAAATCCGCCTGGGAGGTGATGAGGGCCAGCCCAGACTTCCAGAACAACAGGTAAACTTTTTTAAATGATTGAGTGATGCTGTTCCTGAGGGAGTACTTTATTACACACTAGTATTTTTTCACAGGAATTTTGTTATTAACGTGCCTGATATTTTGAGACGCCTGTGTGTGTGTGTGTGTGTGTGTGTGTGTGTGTGTGAGAGAGAGAGAGAATAAGTGTTAAGTGTATTGCGTGTGGTGCCTGCAGGAGGTAAGAGCGTCTCCTCCAGCACTTGCCACAGCCAGGGTGAGTAATGACCCACCGAGGTAGACCGCGACTTCTCAGCGGTTCATCTGACCACCGGGGGACGCGCGTGGCATCACCAAACAATAACATCACTGACTAAAGCCTCTGCACGATGCTCTCACGCCGTGCTCTCTAGTTCATTATGCTGACAGTGGCACCTTCACAAGACACCCAGACAATGTGTGTTCTGCTTCCTGCTTTAAACCTACACTGACGAAGGGAAGGCTGTGTTGTGTGGCAGGTGTTGCGGAGGATAATAATTGTGAGACGAGTGTATGGTGCTGTGTAATATGAGTGAACGCTGTCAAAAGTCTGTCTGTCTGTCTGTCAGTCAGTCTGTGTGCATGCGTGAAGGAGGTAAGGTCTGAATGCAACAGTCATAGAGCAGAACGAGACATGGGAGGTGGGGTTCAGATGGGCGGCAGGAAGCAGTGTTTATCTGCAGAATTGATCGTAATTACTAAAGGCCTATGGAGCTGTTCTGTGTGTGACGCCCATATGGTATCACCTTAAATACGACACATAGCTGGACGCGTCTTGACAACGTGTAAATCAAGTGTAAAATAGTGTAAAGTAATTGTGATAGATAATTTAGCAGTGAAATTGGATAACGTTCTCGTAGTTAAGTGAATAAAACAAGAACTTATTTAACTTAATGTAAAACTAGTGTTAAATAATGTAGAAAAAATTATTAAACTAAAATAAAATAATATTAGCTTTCATAAATTTTAAAATAATTTAGATTTATTTTAGAATAGTGTAAGTTGGTTTATGAACATCGGTAATTGGTCTAATCTACTGTAAAAAGTTATACTCTGGAGTGAAGTAAGTCAAAACTCTTGATAGGAATTGTATCAGAGCAACCAATGTAAAATATTTCCAACCACATACAAATAGTTTTAAACTACGTATTACATAATAGTTTCAGTTTAAAATAATTGAGTTTACAGCTTGCAAAAAATGGTTTAGAATTAGAAGCCAACAGAAAATACTTTGAATAATCTTAAAATAGTTTAAGCGAGTAGAAAAAAATTAATCTAGTTTAAAATAGCTAAAACAACTATAAAATCGTTAAAGCAAGTGTAAAATAGCTCAAACTGGTGGAAAATAATTAAAAAATTATAAAATAGCTAAAATTGGTAGAAAATAGATACAAATTTTGTAAAATAGCTTGAACTAGTGGAAAATAGATAAAACGAATGGATAATAGATAAAAATAGTTAAGACTAGTGGAAAATAGTATAAACTAATGCAAAATAATATAACTAGCAAAAACACAGTGTAGAAATGAATCAAACCTGAATACTGATATCAAATAGTTTTAATGTAGGGCCAGACACAGGTCGAGTCCCTGCCATTACCTGAGTCTACCTGTGTAATTCTTCTAACAGCACCTTAGACGAGCTCACCTGAGAAGTGTGTCGGGTGGTGTTGTGTGTGTGATGGGTGGTGGTGTGTGTGTGTGATGGGTGGTGTTGTGTGTGTGATGGGTGGTGGTGTGTGTGTGTGTGATGGGTGGTGGTGTGTGTGGGTGGTGGTGTGTATGTGTCAGGTGGTGTGTGTCAGGTGGTGTGTGTGTGTGTGTCGGGTGGTGTGTGATGAGTGGTGTGTGTGTGTGATGGTGTGTGTGTGTGTGTGTGTGATGGGTGGTGGTGTGTGTGTGTGTGATGGTGTGGTGTGTATGTGTGTGTGATGGGTGGTGTGTGTGTGTGTGTGATGGGTGGTGGTGTGTATGTGTCCAGGTGGTGTGTGTGTGTGTGTGGGTGGTGTGTGTGTGTGATGGGTGGTGGTGTGTGTGTGTGTGACGGGTGGTGGTGTGTGTGTGTGTGATGGGTGGTGGTGTGTGTGTGTGACGTGGTGGTGGTGTGTGGGTGGTGTGTGTGTGTGTGTGATGGGTGGTGGTGTGTGTGTGTGATGTGGTGGTGTGTGTGTGTGTGATGGGTGGTGGTGTGTGTGTGTGTGATGGGTGGTGGTGTGTGTGGGTGGTGGTGTGTATGTGTCAGGTGGTGTGTGTCAGGTGGTGTGTGTGTGTGTGTCGGGTGGTGTGTGCATGTTTGATTATTTACTCTTGACCAGTTAATTTCAGTCTTAAATTTTTAGACTTAGACATTTCAAACAATCTGACATAAGTGTTGAATATTTATTTTTGTCTTCGTAAAATATCTCTGTAAATAATGATACCAACATTTAGTACTTTCCATTTAACGAAATATTGAAATAAACAATTGTACTATACTATACTGTACTGTACTATACTATACTATACTATACTATACTATACTATTCTTTACTATACTATACTATACTATGCTATACTATACTATACTATTCTTTACTATACTATGCTATACTCTGTGCCAGCAGGAGTGGACAGTTGTACAAGTTTGTTCTGTTTTTGTGTACAGGAACGTGGAGGCCGGGCTGAGAGAGAGTGACCTGAAGGTGAAGTATGTGCGGGCTCGCCTCCCCAGGATCGTCCTGCTCGTGGAAGACACCAACGTTATGAATGTACAGGTGAGTCTATCTGTGGGTCACTTCCTCGACCTTCTCGGCGTGACTTAGGTGCTGCAATTATGGATAATGTGTGCTCGTGGATATGTGTGCGCACTTGTGTAGTGTCCTCCAGGTAATGTAATGCATTGTGGTGTGGTGTCCTCCAGGGAGTGTCGTGTAGTGTGGTGTCCTCCATGGTATTAGTCTCACTCAGCTAACCACTGACTCCCTCCCAGGGGATAAAAGCTGAGACCAGAACACCTGTACCAATTCTCAAAAGTTGATACGGTAAATCTTCCCAGTGACTGAACTGAGGCACATCTGTTGCCCTACATGAGCTTTATGAAGTTGGCGGAACAAAATGGTATCGAGTATGCAATGATATTTACCTGTAACTCTTTGCTTGTCTTGCCCTTAGACATGGGAGATGGTTTTTGTGTACAAATCTTTGAGAATCTGGATCATGTTTTAGCCAACCGTGTGTGACGCTCCTTCCACCCCCAAGAGGTTAGAGTGTACCTTACCACTGGTCTCTCTGAACACACTGCGTCGTCCTGTCCTGGCCACAGTAGTGTAAAATGCCCCCATTTTACACATGAAAGCTGATATATTTTCGCTTCATTTAATCAAAGTTCTCTTTAATTTCTGCTGGCAAACCTACATGCATGATTTTTTGTTTTAGGGGGGAGGAGATCTAACGTACGATATACAAGTGTAGTCCTGTGCTTGTCTGTGTAACTATGACATTTCCTTTGATGTATTTTCATGAAACAGCATATTGGTTGGTCTAATAGTGCACAAATGGCCCTGTGGGTGTTTGTTTGAATCTGATATTCAATATGGCTGCTGCAGCTTCTTAGGCTAAGATTTTGATGGTAGTTTCGTTTTCTTGCTATAGCTTAGAAGTTACAATGGATATCAGTTAAAATATACTAAAACTCATTCTTAACTGTCTGCAAGACTTCTTATATAATGAGTTCACTCATAACACTGTAAGCACTCTTGAAGTTTCATCAAGCTGTTCACTTTCACAACAACACTTCACTAATGTTTGCTTCTGGTGTAGCTCATTATATTCTTCTTTTATGTCTTAATGTTCACCATGTCCTCTCTGGCTGCCATTTTAAAATGTATATTTGCTGCAATACTTTAAGACATACTGTTAAATGGTCGACCTTTCATGATACATTTACGAGTAATTGTCTAATTATGAAATGGTGGCAGTTTACCTGTATATTGTGGCACACCTTGATTTTGATGATATACAGGTAGGTAGTGTTCCTATTTTGGTTACGTTCCATCTGAGCGATACAGGCCCTTGAAGCATCTTGTTTTATAATAGATGATTTGTTCTATTTCATATGACATTCAGAAAATCTGAAGTTTCATTGCATTTTTAAATTTACAAATGTAAGAGATGTGACATCTATCAACTTTGCCTGATGTTCTTCTCTCTTACAGAAACGCTGGGACTTCATGCGCAAGGCTGTGAGGAAGATGGTAACGTATGACGTGCCTGATGGCTACAGCGTTGGACTGGTTGTATTCGACTCAATAGCGGCCACTAAGTACCCACTGACAGCCCTCACTGATGGGGCCACCAGGGAGAAGGTTGGTTCTTCACTTCCCCGCAACCCATCACAAGAAGGCGAGCACAAACGTTGTATTGTTTGTGGCTTACGTGAGGCACTACATCTACTGCGTCAAGACGGACCCGGTGGCCATGTTGTGATGGTGACAGGAGGGAGTGGCAACCTCGGGGAACCTGAGGCCACAGAAGCTACTCACATGCTGGCAGACGCTAAAGTGTCCCTCCATGCTATCATCTACCCACTTACAGAGAAGTATCCAAGACCTAATGCTGGCTTGGAAACTCTGGCATCACGTTCCGGTGGCCACATCTTTATCGTTCCTGATGAAGGTATCGGGGCAGACTCCAAACTTGGAATGTACTACAACCTGCTGGATTCCCTCTACCACACCTTGAGCGCTTTGGCCGGCCGTTCTGCCCTGCCAGTCAAGGTACACTCTGCCGAGCACCCTGGAGGTAGAGTGCCAGTTTCTGAGGGCAGCTTCCTTGTGGACCCAGCTCTGGGTGCTGACACGGTCTTCGCCATTTTCTACTATGATGTCACTCACGTTGGTAACTTGATCCACCTAGTGAACCCCCAGGGCCAGGTCATCGACACAGCCAATATGCAGAAGGAAGATGCCAACATCAACATGATCACAGTGCGGTTGGTGGAGGCACAGGTCACCCCTGGCTTATGGCGTTACAAAGTAGCAAACCGCGCTGATTCCCACCAAGCACTATATGTGCAAGTCACCTCACGCCCACGCCCACGTCCAGAGACTCCACGAGTGAGCGTGAGAGGTTGGACAAGCCATACCATGGGATTAGTCAATGCTAGTGATATCTCACAGCCTTTGGCTCTCTACACAGAGGTGGTAGCTGGAGTGGCGGGCGTTGAAAGTGCCATCGTCACTGCCACCATCACCAAACTGGGCTATGCTAGCAACGGCACTCAGCATCAACCCCAAGATGTCGATTTATATGATAATGGTCTCACAGGTCAGTCTCATTGCTGATATTAGCATGAAACATTTTATTTGGACCATGTGTATTATGCCTATATGAACGTCCATGAAACAGTACAGTATCATATATACAAGTACATGCACATGAAATATTTAGGGTTATTTTCAGAATTTAGATTTATTGCTAATGTGTGTTTGTGTGTTTCAGGTCCAGACATGGCACAGGGTGATGGTGTGTACTCCCGCTATGTGCCAGGGCTGGAGTTGGGCAAGTACAGCATCATGGTGCGAGTGCAAGGTGAGGTTGAAGGTAACGAATTTGCACGGCATGTGAGGCTGGGTATGGTGGACGTGGTAGGTACAAAGCCATCTCCAGACGCTCTCCCACCTGCTAGGGTTGTTGATCTGAGAGCCACACTCCTCCCAGACACTGCCAATCAGGTGAGCTTCACTTGGACAGCCCCAGGAGGCGACCTGGACTATGGAACAGCAGACCGCTATGTGGTAATGACTTCACAGAATCAGCGCGACCTGGTTGAGGGTGGTGGTACTCTGCTGGAGGGATGGCCAACTCCACTGGCCTCTCCAGCAGTACAGCAGCACACCATAACCTGGCAGGAGTACAACACTGTCAACTACCTCACTCTGTATGCTGTAGATGAAGAGGGAAACACAGCTGCTCTGAGTAACATTGTGACAGTGTTTGTACCAGCTCCTCCCACGACCACTCCATCTCCACCATCCTTAGCACCACCCGTCGTTCCAGCCAACACTTCAACCGTCAGGGAGGGTACTGGTGCCCCCGTCTTGGCCGCCCTTGATACTCGTCAGTTGGCTGTTGTGTTTGGATGTGTGGGTGGCTTCATCGTGGTGGTGGCAATCATTGTCTGTTATTGTACCACCGCTCATCGCCGCCACCGGAAATCTGCTGCTGCCAAAAAGGTCCACGAAGTTCAAGACGCCTATAGTGTCACTGTTACAGTCGCCTCAAAAGGCACTGAGTTTCCCGATGGTAAAGAGGCACTGAAGGATGGCATTAAGAAAGAATACATAAGTCCTGTGGAATCGTGGTCTGCTTCTCAGTTGTTGAGTAGCCACCAAGACAGCAAGAGAGGTAGCGTGTCAGCTCGCTCTGACAACACCTCCGACCACAGTGCCTCAACTAAGAAGAGCTATGGAGGATCCTCTGGAGCCATGGATTACTATGGAGAAGCCAGCCAGTACCAGTATCGGCATGCTGGTTATCCAGACCACTATCCGACCCCGAGTGATGGCTATCCTACTCCCACTGAAGGCTACCCAACTCCTCCAGAAGGCTACCCAAATGAAGGTTATCCGGTACCACTAGAAGCACGTTCTTATATCAGCTCACAGCCATCAGACTCATTCCTCTCAGTGTCCTGTGACCTCCTGCCATCTTCCAATGGACCCCCAGCCTATGCTGCTTACCCTTCCTATGATTCTTCTCTCAGGTCCACCAAGGTTCCTCCGCCCATCCCACCCAAACCCAAGGTGCTGTACACACCAGAACCCTACATATATGACACCCACTCCCTCGACCCCCACTCGTCTACTCCATCTGTCGCTTCTGAGAAGCGTGTACGAAATGTAACCATGGTGTAGAGAATGATGTGGGGCCTTAAATATGGTCCATAACGAATTCTTGGCATTATTAGTGTTAGTTTACATTTAATACCATAAAATCTACAAAGAGTATGGACATTGGAGGTGCTGGCAGCAGTTTTTGTACTAGAATGGGAGTGTGGAGACACTGTGCCAGCTTTTGAACGTTTTTTATCTGAACATTCACGTTTTTTGCTGGTAATAAACTCAAGAGTGTTTCAGTGTTTACCATATGGATATTAAAGTGTACCCAAGTAAAAACAGCTGCTTGCCGTCCCAAGGTGTTTCACCTGACTCATCTACTTTGTGATATTGTTGTACAGTGTGATCTCAGTATGAGACGGACGTGACGTGGGTGCCGGAGCCTGATAATTAACTAGCTGCTCTTATGTTTGTATTGAAATAACTCATATAAGTGTAGCGTTAAAGTGACGGATGTTGTGTGTTAGCACGTGTTGTGGTAGATGATTCAGATTGGTTAGAAGAGAACAACTTAGTAGAAAGGAAGTGATACTTGGTGACGAGGACTGCCACATGTTGACTTAGGAAAAGAAACACCTGCTGATGAGGGTGACATGTGCTAAAGTAATGAAGGACAGGTGCCACGTGCTGGGCAATATGTCTCTCACGAGCAACGAAAAAAGTGCCAAATTAGGTGTGGCAACACAGGAGGTTGGGAGAGACCGACCCTACAGGAGGAACACCAGAGCAAACCTTGTTTATACTCTCTCTCTCTCTCTCTCTCTCTCTCTCTCTCCTTCTCTCTGTATATATATATATATATATATATATATATATATATATATATATATATATATATATATATATATATATATATATATATATATATATATATATATATATATATATATAGGTTTATATAGGTCAAGCACATTGCTCCTCCATGTATGCTGTTGGTAGAATACTGAATTGCCTCTAGTCACTCCTGTGCATTAAGCGATACAATTTTTGTTTCATTCACTGTTGTTTTTTTATTAATTTTTATATATGCTTATGTAAGATATTTGTGCAATTGTGTGAATACTGTAAATATATGCAAATAAATGAATATATATATATATATATATAAAATGTTACCCATTTAATTGGATTTGTAAATTTCATTTTTTGTAAATAAAACCAAAATGATGGATGGGATTTATTTAAATTCTTTATAGTTTAATTATTAATTTACAATATAGCAAGACACTGTAGCAAGAACACAAAATTCTGTTTTACAGCTTAACAGCTTAAGTTTACTGTGTGTAAAGAAACCTGTTTCAAAACATAACCTCCATTTTAAGATAAATGATAATATTTGTGTTAGTTTTACAGCTGTAAGTATAACAGATTTAAACTTGGATTACATTATGGACGAAGTGTTTTAACAGTCACATTATATTAAAAGTCCAAATTAATGCATCAAGGAATTGACAAAACATTTAAAAGTATTTATGATGAAACTAATTGGAGTAACATCAAAGTCGAAGAAGTGATATCACATCGCTGTACACCGCTTAGGGTACATACAGAGATATCTTTGAGAGTTGGGACGCCTCCAGGACGGCAGCGGTGGTTGCTTCTGTTCTATGCTCCGTGTCGCGGCTGCTGCTCCACTGGTGCCAGGTGGGTCATGTTGAGTTGTTGCACTGTGAACAGAACATCGAGTCCCACCACGTCCCTTCACTGCTGTATGACTCTCCACTTCTGCTGTGGGCAGCCCTGTGACCTGTGACATAAGTCTGCACTTGGTCAAGTAGTCGACAGCTAGGTTCAATCAAGCTGGATAAGTACTCCAGTGCAGATCAGATCTCTCTCTCTCTCTCTCTCTCTCTCTCTCTCTCTTGTAAGTCAAGTTTAACATCTGTAACATCAGAAAGACCAACTTAAAACAGATTTAACGTCTTTAAAACCTAAGTGAACTGTTCAGTCTTATCTGCTTTTAAATTGTTTATTCAGGAACTAACGATGATCTAAATAAAAAATGGATAAAGAACTATATCAGATTTAGTTAATTGTACCAAAAGAACAATCAACTTACTTCAAATTTATCGGTTCAATAAGCACATGCAAATTCAACTCAACATCCTTACAAATTGTTCACTTCCAGATTATCTCTTCTGTGCACGGGAGTATTAGTGTAGAGAGGAAGAGTCTATTCCCGACCAAGGGTGATGAAACAGGCAATAAGAGTCATAAAGACCTGAGAATAACTATCAAACTCACCTGTGTGTAGCTTTTGAAATAAAAAATATGTAGAACTGCTCATTGACGTTATGATGCTATTTCATTGTTTCAACAACTCAGGTCTTAAGAGCCTAACGAGGGAGGGGGGTTAACTTAGATTTTTTTTATTATTATTATGAACTGCACTGAAGACCTTATCTGTTGAAGTACATAAATACATTATCCTTCTCTTTCATGTTTCAACACTACAATTCCCGTATGTAGCCACGTTCAATTACAAACTAATAGTAATGCTCGCCTGGGTGTGTTCGACTGAGTGTGTGAGGCGAGAGCAGTGTGTGTCGGCGGAGGTAAGTATGGATGGGACGCTCAACAGTCGCTTGCTCTCCAATCATTGATGTCTAAGTGTAACCTGCCACGGGGATTTTTATACAGTTCAGTGAAGTATTAAGTTACCTCATCTTAATCATTCGGGAATAACTACGTGTGTATTCATGAATTTGTCAGAAAGAAGAAAATTCTTCTTGAACAGAGGAGGAAATTCATTTCCAAGTTTCACTTAAACTACTGTATTATTTCCTACATTTTCTTCTTTTATTCATATTTCTGAATCAATCACGACAACAGAGACATATTAGGAAAATTCATTAGAACTGACCAACCTGCCTAACGGTTGTTAACTTGATAAGTGACCAGGTGATACATAAATAAAACAAAATAAAATGATAGACTTTTTTTAAATTAGAACAATAACAAAAATATAACTCAGGAAAATGTTCTTACATGTTTCCTGTAAGTTATTTTGTTTGTTAGTTTTTATTTTTAAACAAACACAAATTTTAACAGAAGTGACCAATTTCTCGGTAAACAAGGCATAGACACAACTCATCTTGGGTTCGGTGACAAGAAAGGACTTGACAACCATTGAGAAGCTACGACAGATCACCTCACCAAAATAATCCCAATGAAACAAAATGAAATTCAGGTAAATCAATCCATTTAAGTGTTAGTTTGTTTCTTGACTCCAGAAGCTATAGAACAATTCTACTTCAGACTCGTATGTGAAAAAATTAATTACCATCTTGGTGGTCCGTTAAGGCAGCACTGTATACTAAGGTCTTTGGTACACAAGGAGGCATCGTGGTTGGTACCTGACTACCCTCAAGTCTCAATTCGTCATCTTTACTGCCTGGTGAATAGGAGTTACCCTCGACATGAAACGGCTTCTGAAGGTGAGTACTGCATCTACTCGGCCATCACTCACACCCAAACCAAACCAGGCAACAACGTCATTTTATCCTAATGACTTATTGCTTAAATTGTAACACGTCAGCTGGAAAGTAAATGATTACCCTTTTTTCTACAGGGTTTAGCACAGGTCACTGACTCACATTGCGGCCTGGGGGGCGAAAATGTAATAATAATAATAATAATAACGATAATAATAATTCATGGTAAATAAAATTTGTAATAAAAATACAAAATTAAAAATAAAATAATAATTCAAGGTAATTAAAATTTATAAAAGATATAAAATTAAAATAAAATAATAATAACAATACTAATAACAACAATGTAATAATAATAATGAAGAACCATAAATAAATAAATAGTGAGAACCGATTTATGTAAGTTGTGTTGTCAAAGTAAGAGAAACAATTGAGACCCTGTTATGTATTCTTTATTTTTATCTTGGTTTTCTATTTAATAGTTTTTAAGAGAAACATAATTTGGCTAGAATAATTATGTAACAGATTTATATTTGTTGGAAATATTGGCCGTCACATGACCTGCCGTCATGTGTGAGCCGTTGGTGCAAGGTGACTATCAAGGAAGGTAGAGTAAGGAAGATCAACTTACTTTAATTTGCGTATATTTTTCAGTGTCGCCGTTCCCTACGCCATCTAGCGATGACCGACAGAACTAAGGCAGTATATATATTTGCCCCTGAGGGGGCTAGTTTATTGGGCACCCCCTTGTCATCCTGTGCAAGGTGAAGCGCAAAAGCGTTTACAGCGCCCATCTGGGAAGCATGCCTAGTTCATGCTTGCTTTCATGACTCATGCATTAAGGGCGTAAATGCCTGAAAGGTCATGGATTTTGTCAGCAAGTTACATAAAGTGACAGAATGATGAGTGTGTGGGGGGAAAATTTCCGGTACAATTCATCTGTTTATGGCAAAGCGTGGCAGGTCCCTAATAATGTCAAGTGCCTGTCTCTAGGAGGAGGGATATCTGGTTTGTAGGTAAGAAAGTTAGGAGTTACTCCAGGAGTTTGGGCAGGGCCCCTGGGAGCAGAGACTGGGGTGTCGGGCATTGAGGTCCCCCACAAGGAGGGAGGGGGTGGAGGTGACAGGAGGGAGGTAGTATTCATGGAAAACGATGAGGGTCAGTGACTTGTGCTTGGGTGGGTTAATCCCCGTAAAAAAAAATAATAACAATACTAACTTTGACGTATTAATATTCTGGTATTGATATATTTATATTTATATATTTATTTATAGTTCATCTATTCATTCATGAAGGAAACCTAACCACATTATCAGTTGTAAACGTCATTCATTCCAAAATGACTGAAATTATTTTTTTTACAGGATCACAATTGTCGGAGTGTAGAGGTATAAAGGTAAACAAGAATGTCATAATGCACTTTATTATATAAACAAACAATAACAAAACTATCACAAGTTCTTTTACAAATTAATGTAGCTAAAAATTATAAGTATCATCGCACATGTGTATAAAGATGTTTATTAAATCAAATTGTTTGTCCTTTTCATCACCCGTAAGATGAATGATAAACTTATTTCTTGTCAATATTTTCTCAAAATGCGTCATGTATTGTTTACATATTAGTGTTAATAACGAATATACTGCAGTGATATTAAAGTTTACTATCAGTATCATGATCTCATCTTGCTCTGAGCGATATTGTTGACTAATAATTAATAAATACTCACTACCAGTAAATGCGTTTTCAATACATATTTTTTGTCTTGACCAAACGGAAAATGCTTAGATTTAACATATAGGTTTGGCAGGACGTTTCAGATTAAGCTAAATGAAGATCTAAACTCCATTTTCTGTCAATTACTGATATTCAGTGACCAATGCCATGGTAACTTAAACTAGTAACTACACTTAACTCCTTTATCTTCATGACATAATTATAATCTTACCCCGATGGAATTATAGATGTCTGTGGCTTTTCTTGTCCTTACAAACAACACAACCATGACAACCACGTGGAGCCATTTCCTGTGACTTTGGTTTTGTCACACTGAACGACTCTTGGATGTCCAGCCAGATGACGTCATATAACAAAACAGTCTTTGTTACAGACGTCACTCACGCGACGGTAGCGCTATCTATCGGTGACCGACCCAACTACCAAGTGCTCAGTTAGTGATTTGATGCTATTTTTTGGCGGCACGCAGCTGTATAGAGGAGTCGAGCTTCCTTACTCTGCCTTTCTTGGTGGCAAAGCTCATTAGAGACATTAGTCACTACCTACCCTTCGTCCGGTGCGATAATGCTGGCCTGGACATCTTTGTTTCGTACTTGACGGGTGTGTGCCTGACCAGAGCGTAGTGCGTAATACGGATTGTACTGTACTGTACTGTATTGTACTGTGGATGGGATCATATCTCGAAGCCCTATAGTGTGGCTTGTGCTCATAATGTCTGAGGACTGATATTAAGTACTATACTGAATATGTTCTGGGCTTGCGCAGTTCGATCAATATCTAACCAAACCTAACCAAGCCAAATCAAACTTAGCCAAGCCAATTCAAACCAAATTTAACCTAATCAAACGTAATCTAACCTTTTATTCCGAGGGGTAATCTCAGCACGCCTCAAGCTTTCAATAATGTTTGATCGAACTGTGCAGTCGCAGGCCCAAAACATTTTCAGCAGGGTACTGTCCAGTCTCGGCACGTCACACCGGAACTGCATTTTTTCAAGACTCAAAATATCAAGATGCGAGTTGTCATCTTTGAAAGGCTCTGAGTCAAGACATCCAAGTAAAACACTTCAAGGTTGGTGATATTAAACTTAAAACTGTTTTGGTATTGTATAAATCAATTTGTATAGGATGATGGATATTATTGTTTTTCTTCTATCACTTCCATAGTTTCTAGAGGTTTAGTTTTCTTGAAGGTTAATATTGAGTGAACTTTATCCTGGACCTAAGGCTGAGTTGATAAGAGACCCCTTGTATTGATACCAGTGGAGCTAAAGCTGTGCTACTAGGCTGTTTACAGTAAGAGTCAATGTCGGCTCCAATACCTCTGATCGTTGATTCTTCTGTTGATCTTAACGATAGTGTATCTCAGCTAGTTGGTGCATCCATCACGTAAATTACTAGTTTCTAAAGTTTCTTCGCACTTGAGTAGAAGTTTAATCAGTTATTAGGACTAGGGAGGTACTACCGCCTGGGAAGATATTGGAAGCATAATGTGTGGCCTAATGGTAGACCCTGCTGCCATATGTGACCAAGTCCCAGGTTCATGATCTGACTTTCTGCCTCATTTACACACAATTGTAGGGTCTCAATTGTTTCTCTTACTTTGACAACACAATATACATATATTGTTTATCACTCTTGATTTTTTTCATTTTTGTATTTCTTTATTATTATTATTATTATTATTATTATTATTATTATTATTATTATTATTATTATTATTATTATTATTATTATTATTATTATTATTATTATTATTATTATTATTATCATCAATATTAATTTACTTTTATTCTTAATTTAGTATTTTTTATTGTTTTTTTTATTTATTATTATTATTATTATTATTATTATTATTACATCTTCGCCCCTCCCCCCTCCCCCCCCCTCCCTCGGCCCTGATGTGGGTCAGTGACCTGCCCCTAGCTGGGCTAGTCCCTGTAAAAAAAATATAATAATAATTAAATAAAAAAAATAAAATAAAAATAGCGCAGGTTTTCAGAGGCTGATATTGTGAAGGCTGAGGCTGGGGGACAATCGTTAGGTAGTTTTGATAGGGAACAAGAGTGAAGCGGGGGATCTAGAGGTTGTTCTGTGCTTCATCATTCCAATTTTAATGCAGGCTCTGTTACTCTCCAGCCACAGTCATCCATTAATGTTCAATGCGTCATGAAAACCAATGAAACTAAACATAATTGCAATCCTTTAACGTAGATGGCGCTCGTAACATCCAACCATCTACACAGAGAGGGAAAGATTCATTACCAGATTATAAATACATTTTCGCTCAGCTCCCTGCCATACGTTAACAGTTAAGATAATACAAAGCAACAAACTAATTTAATAGAAACATGAGTATAATACCCAAGTTACAGTATCGATTATTTATAAGAGCCTTTAACAGCATAATAAATAAAAGGCTTGCTGATGATAAACTAAGGCTATATTATTTAGAGCAGTACACATGACACAAGGTACAGGATACCTTGAGGTGAGGAAACTTTTTTGATACAAGATATGGTAATGAAGAACAGATGTCACAGATGTCACGGCATATGTTGAGAAGATTTTTAGCTGGCGAGGCCCAGAAGTTGATGATGTAGAGGATTAGACGGATTATCTGTAATGCTCGTGAGTTGTAAACAGTCTGGTGGGTGTCACAATAGGAGTGAGGGAAATGAAGCATCCAAAGATGGTGAGATAGGTTCTAGAGAAGTTACCTTTGTCCATTCAAGATATATGGCGGAGTTGGCAGGTAGCAGACTATCTCCTCTCATCCCTTCACTACAGGGCGCCATTATTAATGTTTTATTTGGTTAACGACAGACGATTTTATTCAGCACATACGAGTTCCTGTACACAAGTGGTTAATGTTACAGGATAAGAACATTGACCTGTAAAGTTCTCTGACTTGGTGGGATTTAATGAGAAGGAAGCTGTGTGATGTCTTGTGCATTATTTAGAACCACAGGGACCGCTTGAGAGCAAGAATAAATTGTAGTATTTTATTTACCTCCAAAGAAGATACTGCAAAACCTCCAATGAAATGCATGTTTTGTAGTAAGACACTTTCTTTGGAGGTGTGTGATATCTTAGTGTAAAAGTCAGATGAGGAATATAAAGGTTTCATTATTAGGAACGGTCTATGTTTTGGTCGTCTGCTTAGTGGCCATATGTCTATAGATTGTAAAAAGTAGAGGACATGTAACAGTTGTACGAGTGCCCACCCAACACATTTGCTTCAGTTCTTAGTTAAGGTTAACGAATAAGTCAAGTTCACCTGTGGTTCAGTTAGTGGTTTCGGTGAATGCCAAAGTGAACATCACAAACAAGACACCATAGTATGGAAGAATGTATTCCAGTAGAGGAATTGATTCTTTTTTTTAATTTTGCCGCGGACAGCAGCTAGTTTATTGTGTATCCCATACATATCCTATGAACGGTAGCGCAAAAAGAATTACAGAGTAGAGGTCACAAAGGGTGTTTATCAGAGCCCAGTGATTTTGATATTATGGCAATGAATGTTATAGAATATTTCCAGTACATTGTTTGTTTAAGTCGGTACATAGAATTTTGATTAGGTACTAGATGCCAAGTGTGGATACAGCCTTAGTATATCAGCTATCTTGTCATCAGAGATAAAGTACTGTGCCATTGCATACACAGTGTGCTTGGATCTGTCCCTATAAGGTTCTATTTTTTCACAATCTAAGACGTAGTGTTGGAGTGTGTGGCCATATGTCTTGTTCACATCTGCCTGAGGGGCATACTGCCACATGTACTTATATCCTAACCTTAGTCTAGCGGTTACAACACCTAATGATCTTGTTACTTGCTCCATATACATGTTTTATTTGATACATCTCATCATGGTAAACAATGGATTGGCTAGTGCCTATTTGCACTTGTCTACTGGCTTCAATTTCATCAGTAAGTTCTTTTCTGGTTACAGTTTTTAAGGTTCTGAATGCCTGTCCCTTGTCTGTCTGTAGCACACCGGGACAGCTCCCCGTGAAATATATTACCAGGGTACTGAATAAAGTTGGGTTGGGGTGGAGGGTGGAGGTATGGAAATCATTGGTTTTAGGTCTACAAAAATAACATTAATAACAGGATGTGATTTGTGCATTTGGCATCTTTATACCCTGCACCCCCCAAAGGGGTGGGGTTATTTCGTTGGCATTATGAGTGTCCAGTGCCACATTGCCGTTAATCCTTTATTGTTTAAAGTTTGGGTTACCAGATATGAAAAAAGTGGTTACAAACATTCAGGGATCCCACAGGGTGTTGCCACCAAGTTTCGTGAAAATCGGTAGAGCAGTTCTTTGTCCTCCTTACGGGCGTGTGCTTTGGAATACGAGGCAAAAAATTTGATCCTTAGGCTACAATTTGAACCGATGTAAAATATATATTTTTTTTAATAAATATCCATCTAATAATGTTCATACATCTTACCGTCATAAGGAGAAAAAACACTTTTTTTTTAATTATCGTTTTATTTTTTCTATCATCCAAAGTCCATTCACCTTATTATAGAATTACCCAATTACTGACACACCCAAGGATATACAGTTAATAAACCCCAAGCTGTGAGTGTCAGTGTTCTACCTATACTCAAGCTGGGAGTGTCCGTGTTCTACCCATACTCAAGCTGGGAGTGTCCGTGTTCTACCCATACTCAAGCTGGGAGTGTACGTGTTCTACCCATACTCAAGCTGGGAGTGTACGTGTTCTACTAAATGTTGTAATAAACTGTTTTAGGGAATCCTTTCCTTATAATCCATCTTATATTTTTAATAACATACAACATACATAAGCTTAACTATGGTAGTCTTCAAATTCTTTATTCTTCAAGTACATGAACAACAACTGTTAAAGTATACGTCATTTAATCGTATATAAAATGTGACCTTGAAGTTCTTCACTAATTTGAGCGTGTCATCTTAGTAGCCCCTCGGACGGCCGTTCACTTGGCATATTTAAGATCTTAAAAATACCTGAACATGCGCCGAGGCTTTTCTAGTTTGGACTTAAAAAGAGTTCCCGTCACAACCATTAACTTAAGAGTAACCGTTTGTGCGACGGCACCAAAAGCCCTAAGAAGCCGATCTATTTTAAAAGAGTGTCCCCCTCCATACTGTCGTTTTCTCTAACCACATCTTTGTTCTGGTCACATTTTCTCTGAGGTAGAGGAAGAGGGTGACGGACATGAGGGATGGCAATATTCTCCCAGTAGCCGGGGAACCGTGCACCTGATGACCTGCAAGGCAAAAAATAAATAAAAATATTTATGTGGCAAGAAGAATTAATATAAATTCCATATATTATATGAAATGGCAAAAAAAAAATGCCATCGTCTTGACTCGCTAGCTCCGTCTCTTATTGTCAACATTGATGCAGAGTAATCATTTAGGCAGGGCTGTGCGGTCTTCGAAGCCTTTCATGCAGCCCACTTCTGAAATTACCATGAACCCAGCCTGCGGCCCCCCACATCCAGGGCTTAATAATATATCGGCCAGCATGACCAACTCTGCCGCATTTCATATCACAGAGAAATTGGCTTCTCTTCACACCATCAAGGCAACAATTATTGGTCAGGATGTATTTGACGAATTGGACAAGGTACTGAGCAAGTTCGACCTTGATTACAAGAAACTGGCTAGTCTTACAGCTGATGGAGCTCCGGCAATGGTAGGTTTAAGGGTAAAATGGAATCTTAGAATATTGATTTTTCTTCACTAATTGTATGTCATTGTATCATACATCAAGAAACTTTGTGTTCAAAAACACTGAAATTTCGCCATGTGACGAGTGTCCTTGTAAAAGCAATCAACTTTATCAAGTCAAAAGGTTTGAATCACCGTCCGTTTCAACAGTTGTTGGTAGACATTGAAGCAGAGTTTGGTGAAGTGAAATACTTTTGTGAGGTTCGGTGGCCAAGTAGAGCAGGAATGCTGAAAAGAGCTTATGATCTTTTGGGAGAAATTGTTTTCTTTTTAAATATAAAGATAACAGTGTCCCAGAACTGACTGATAAGGAATGGATCTGTGATCTAGCATTTCTGGTGGACATTACTCAACATCTGAACAGTTTGAATGTGAAACTCCAGGGAAAAGATAAACTCATAAGTGACCTTTTCTCGTTAATCAAAGGATTTCAGACAAAATTACGTCTCTGGGAGTCGTAAATCAGAAAGGATAATACAGTTCATTTCCCAACTCTCGGCAAGTATGAAGTTAAGGACGAGCAGTTTTCAAAGTTTGCGGATAAGTTGACAGCCTTGCAGGATGAATACTCACACAGATTACAGGATATCAGACGCCGTGCACTAGACTAGCAATAGAATTATTTGCCGCACCTTTCACTGTGGCTGTAGAAACTGTTCCAGAGATGTACCATATGGAAGTGATCGACCTCCAATGCAACAATGAACTAAATAAGAAATATGATATGTTACCAGGAATTTTATAAGAATTATTTACCAAGTGCAGATTATCCACAACTTTCTGCTCACGCACAAAAAATTGTCAGTGTTTGGAAGTAGATACTTATTTGAACAACTTTATTCAAAAATGAATTAAGCTCTTATATTACTGATGTGCACCTACTAAACATCCTTCGTGTTGTTACGTCATCCATCCAGCCAGATATTGTAGACATAGTTCAGCAAATACAAAGTCACCCATCCCATTAGCAACTCATTTTAGTTAACAAACACAGTAAGTATTTTGTCTATTTCGCATAAAATTTATCATTAATTTTGAATTTGAAAACCAGTATATTGAGTGTATGACCCATCATCAACCAATTTTTTTTTATTGTGGCTCTCTACGCAAAAAGTTTACACGCCCTTGATTTAGAGAATTTGCTGTCTGGTTATCTTCCAGAACCACGTTGTTTTCGTCGTTTAGATGGCCATATAAACACGTGATCTTTCTTAATATTTAGGGTAAATTTCATCTCTAATTTCATGATTGGCCATATTCAGGGTTTTTTTTTTGTATTCTGTACTAAATAGTCAGCATAATGTCTTGTACTCTGGCATTTCTTCCACAGCTGGTGCTTTTTTTTTTTTTAGGCTTTCTTGAATTTATTTTAAGGGGTATGCATCCCACTACTGTTATTTTATGAATCTCCATGAAGTCTTGCAATGATTGTCTATGTCCTCTTTAACAATATCCCCCCAGTTAATTCTCTTTAGTTTGTCCATCATCAGCTGTTAATCCCCACGGCTGCAGTCACAGTATTCCTTCTCCACCATTCTCTCCCGACTATCAAAGAATGTATCCCACGATAGCACGTAGCGGTCGCTGGCCAGAATTCGTTTTTTTCCCCAACATTGACCTCGTCTACCATTGCTCCTCAGTCATCAAAAGTGAAGGTCGTCTCCCCTCACGTGAGGAATGAGCTCAAGTAATTAAAATCTCCTATGATGAAACCATGTGCTCGGGATGCTGTCTGGATGACTATGAAGATCTCTCATTTCCCTCTCACACACTCAGACAAACCTCTGCTCTCACACACTCAGACAAACCTCTGCTCTCACACACACAGTCAAACCTCTACTCTCACACACTCAGTCAAACCTCTACTCACACACACAGTCAAACCTTTACTCTCACACACTCAGTCAAACCTCTACTCTCACACACTCAGTCAAACCTCTACTCTCACACACAGTCAAACCTCTACTCTCACACACTCAGTCAAACCTCTACTCACATACACAGTCAAACCTTTACTCTCTCCAAACTCACACTCAGTCAAACCTCTACTCTCACACACAGTCAAACCTCTACTCTCACACACTCAGTCAAACCTCTGCTCTCACACACACCTCAAACCTCTGCTCTCACACACTCAGTCAAACCTCTACTCACAAGACAAACCTCTACTCTCACACACTCAGTCAAACCTCTACTCTCACACACTCAGACAAACCTCTACTCTCACACACACAGTCAAACCTCTACTCTCACACACTCAGTCAAACCTCTACTCTCACACACTCAGTCAAACCTCTACTCACACACACTCAGTCAAACCTCTACTCTCACACACACAGTCAAACCTCTACTCTCACACACTCAGACAAACCTCTACTCTCACACACACAGTCAAACCTCTACTCTCACACACTCAGTCAAACCTCTGCTCTCACACACTCAGTCAAACCTCTACTCTCACACACTCAGTCAAACCTCTACTCTCACACACTCAGTCAAACCTCTACTCTCACACACTCAGTCAAACCTCTACTCTCACACACTCAGTCAAACTCTCACACACACTCAAAGCTCACACACTCAGACAAACCTCTACTCTCACACACTCAGTCAAACCTCTACTCTCACACTCAGTCAAACCACTCTCACACACTCAGTCAAACCTCTACTCTCACACACAGTCAAACCTCTACTCTCACACCCTCAAACCTCTACTCTCACTCTGCTCTCACACTCAGCCTCTGCTCTCACACACAGTCAAACCTCTGCTCTCACACACTCAGTCAAACCTCTACTCACACACTCAGTCAAACCTCTACTCACACACTCAGTCAAACCTCTACTCTCACACACACTCAGTCAACCTCTACTCTCACACACTCAGTCAAACCTCTGGGCCTCACACACTCAGTCTCTCACACACTCAGACAACACACCAGTCAAACCCCTACCTCACACACTCAGTCAACCTCTACTCTCACACACTCAGTCAAACCTCTACTCTCACACACACTCAGTCAAACCTCTGCTCTCACACACACTCAGTCAAACCTCTACCTTCTGCACACCAGTCAAACCTCTACTCTCACACACTCAGTCAAACCTCTGCTCTCCACACACAGTCAAACCTCTACTCTCACACACACTCAAACCTCTACTCTCACACACACCAAACCCCACTCAGACAAACCTCTACCTCTCACACACTCAGACAAACCTCTGCTCTCACACACTCAGACAAACCTCTACTCTCACACACTCAGTCAAACCTCTGCTCTCACACACTCAGACAAACCTCTGCTCTCACACACTCAGACAAACCTCCGCTCTCACACACTCAGACAAACCTCTACTCTCACACACTGTCAAACCTGTGCTCTCACACACTCAGTCAAACCTCTGCTCTCACACACACAGTCACACACCTCTACTCTCACACACTCAGTCAAAGCCTCTACTCCTCAGCTCTCACACACTCAGTCAAAGCCTCTACTCACACACATTCAGTCAAACCTCTACTCTCACACTCAGTCAAACCTCTACTCTCCACACTCAGTCAAACCTCTACTCTCACACACTCAGTCAAACCTCTACTCTCACACACTCAGACAAACCTCTACTCTCACACACACAGTCAAACCTCTACTCTCACACACTCAGTCAAACCTCTACTCTCACACACTCAGTCAAACCTCTACTCACACACACTCAGTCAAACCTCTACTCTCACACACACAGTCAAACCTCTACTCTCACACACTCAGACAAACCTCTACTCTCACACACACAGTCAAACCTCTACTCTCACACACTCAGTCAAACCTCTGCTCTCACACACTCAGTCAAACCTCTACTCTCACACACTCAGTCAAACCTCTACTCTCACACACTCAGTCAAACCTCTACTCTCACACACTCTCTGGCTTTAATTGTAATAAAGAAGATGGAAGAGACTTACTTGTTGCACTGCATGGAGAGAGGAGAGTTCTGGTAGAGGTCGGCCATCATGCCAGACCTAAGCGGAGTCCAGCGGATAGCCTGGTAGTTTTCTCGCCACCCTAATTCCGGCGACGTCTGCTGCAACTCCCACCTGCCGATGACCACAGCACTTGTCACAGTCATGTTGCCAAGATAAACACACGGAGGTTGTTGATATGTTTGTGAAGATCTCTGTTTAAGTCAACGCTGGTAAACATTAAGGTGTTGGTTAACTGTTTATATGTAATCAACGTATCGGTGTCAACAGTCCATATGGGTCAAGTTATCAATGACTTACGAACACAATATTCCTTTTGTCGTAATCTAGACAGGTATATTAAACAACTAAGACGATAAATGAGAAGTACTGGGTTCTAATTCTAAAGGTTAACAATACACAACAACTTGATGTGTCAAAGATAATGAAGGACAAATTAAGCAATTCTACCTTCCTCTAACCTGTATTAGCAATCAACAGTGTAGATGATTTAAACACACTAGTTAACTCCAACACTACGAGACCACGCTTAACATGTTATTTGATTCACGCCAGACGATTATATTCAGCTCAAAGGAGACCCCGTACACAAGGTGCTAGTAGACTATCCCCGTACACAAGGTGCTAGACCCACCTAGTAGACTACATAGGGTGTAGGTAGTAGACTATCCCCGTACACAAGGTGCTAGTAGACTATCCCCGTACATAGGTGCTAGTAGACTATCCCCCGTACATAGGGTGCTAGTAGACTATCCCCGTACACCTAGTAGACTATCCCCGTACATAGGGTGCTAAGAAGACTATCCCCGTACACAAGGTGCTAGTAGACTATCCCCGTACACAAGGTGCTAGTAGACTATCCCCGTACATAGGGTGCTAGTAGACTATCCCCGTACATAGGGTGCTAAGAAGACTATCCCCGTACACAAGGTGCTATTAGACTATCCCCGTACATAGGGTGCTAAGAAGACTATCCCCGTACACAAGGTGCTAGTAGACTATCCCCGTACATAGGGTGCTAAGAAGACTATCCCCGTACACAAGGTGCTAGTAGACTATCTCCTCTAATGGTCACGTCGTTGGTGAATTGTAAATATTTTTCTGCAGGGTTCATCTCTGTTGACTAATTGAACTTTCAATGGCTTGCTGGCAAATCATCACCAATAATCCGACAAGGAGAAGGAATTTGCACCACTGTCAAAGGATCTAAGAATATAATGAATATGATATTTATTTTTCCTTGCGAATAAGATAGTGTCAATATTCTTATCCCAAGAATATTGCTGTTCACGACGAGACATTTTTTATACAATTTTTAGGTTAGACGGGGGATATAGTGTTGTCACATCCACCTGTATCTCCTACTAAAGTGGAGTAGGTTTGTGTGTTACTATGGTGAAGGAACTAGAGAAGCTATATTTGTTTTGTGAATTTTGAGTGAAAGGGCTTTAGAGGTCCCCCAAAATTTGTGTATTTGTTTTGTTGAGTTTGAATAAGCTTTTGATGAGGTAAAACACAATAAATTTGGCATTAATAAAGGAGATCTTAAAATAAAAAATAAATAAAAACATCTTTACTGACAACAGGAGGCTGAAATGTTAGTAAATAATGCACTACTAATTCCATGGTTCAGAGTTAGACGAAATAAGACAAGACTGTGATCTCTTTCTTCAACATTGTATAATATGTATTCAGAATTCTTAAAGTGACAATGAAGGGAAAAAGATAATGGTAAAGTAATATCAAATTGACGCTATGAAGATGATACTGCTCTTAACACAGAGTGAAGAAGCATTGCGAAAACTCATAAACAGACAAGTGGAAAAAGGTGAAGAATATAGGTTAAGAGTTGCTGCTGAAGACACTAAAGTAATGGTTGTTTCCAAATTGGAAATAAACCCTAAAACAAAAATTATGGTCGGCAACATGGAAATAACACAGGTGGAAAATTTAGTGTACAGTATTTGGGAAGCAACATTAGTTGTGATGGTAAATGTACGAAAGAACTCAAAGCAGGATAGGACAAGCAAAACAGCATTTAATAGTCTTAAAGACCTAATGAAAATGGACAATTAACATCAATTTAAGAAAAGGGCTGCTGAAAGGCTTTATATGGCAAGGACTGATGTATGGGTCAGACGCGTAGACACTTTCAGCAAATACCAGAAAGAGGTTGGAGTAGAGGTCTTTGAGATGTGGTGTTATAGGCGAATGCTAAAATAAGCTATATTGTCGAGAAAAGAAAAGAATAAATGAATTACTTTTATAGAATAAGGAAAATTAGATAATTTGGTCATATAAATAGGGATGAAGGGATAATAGCAGAAATAATAATGGGCAAAGTTGAGGGTAGGAGGACCAGGGGATATTTTTTTCACGGGTGGTATTTTTTTTTAGGCAGCTCTTCCTTGACTTCCGGGATACACATTCTTCTCCCACGGCATCAAATATTTTTATAATTTTTTGCTAAGACTTTGTGTAATATTCTTCCTGTGTGATAGACCCCAGTTTATTCACAGTAGTTTTTCCCTGTTTTCAAGGATTTAATTCCATCTTAATAATGGAGCTCGGCGGTCGAATGAATACAGCGCGCGCCTCCTGTTCCAGTGGTCGGTTGTTTGATACCAGGGCGCTCCCACTTCACCTAGTTGTAAATGGATACCTAAGTTTGCAACTTGGGGAAGTGAAGGCGGTCGAGTGCAGTACCGGTCATGCTGCCTCCTTGTGTACCGAAGGCTTAGTATACAGTGTGCTGTATCCACACTGTCCTTAACGGGCAGTCATGCCTTTGGGACCCACTTTCACTTTTCATCATACATTTTAGAAAAAAATGATCATTAGATTGTTATCAAATAATTACAAGAGAGTATTATACTGTAGTACCTGTAGAGAGAAGGACTGGGGTAACATGGGGTACACAGACAGGAGGAGGCTGCCCACCTGTTCATGAAGTTGAAGTAGCTAACGAGGGTGGCGGAGTCGACGGAGGACTTGCACACCTCGAGGTCCACCTTGGGATAATAGTGGACGTAGTTGACGCACATCTCGTCGCTGATGGCGAACCCTCCCACCGTCACATTGTCTCGTGACGTCGTTGAGTACTCGCATGTCATGATAAGGGAGTCACCCTGAGGAAGATCAGATATGGTCATCTCGTGTCAAATCAGGGATGGGGCGTCTACTCATCAAAAAATTTTCTGAAAGTTAAACGATTAAACGATAGTCTGGCAATGGGAAGGTTCTAGACAGGGTAAACACACGGTGGTGACCCACTACACCTGGGCAGAAGCAGTATCAGTCACCTCCCTGAAGTGTGACTGTACACTGTCTAGAGTTTTACACTAACTGCACCTTCACACTCTTCTGGTGGAAAGGTAACACAAAGGGGACTGCTCAACCATTTATTTTTAAGATGACCTAACCTAACCCAACCTAACCTAAAATACTTAATATTAGTTTGAGTTTGGTTGGTTACGCTAGCGATCTTCTCTGTAGTATTTACCAACAACATTTTGCCTCACACTATGTCGGCATAATACATGAGCACGGAATTATTAAGTAAGTTTAAATTCAGAGCGTCACCCAGCAGTAGATATGGGGGTAAACAACGAGGTAACACAAGCGACGTCATGATGAGTTTAGTTACATATTTAATCACATTATTGATGGACTCACATAATCGGGCAAACAATATAACTAATTTATGGCCATATAATACAAGCTGACAGTTTATAATTTGTCCCATATAAACAGCAAACGTACTGTACATAATACCGTTAAATTAAAGGTATTGCAGTTTATTTTTCCCCACGTTCTTTGGGTGGCAGTTAAGATACCCTAATGAAAGAACAGCAGGAGTAACTGGTTCATCGGCTCTGCTGGACAGATTGTTCACAAATTGTGGCGTTATTCTGTGAACCCGAAATGTCTTTATTGTTAGTCAAATTGTGTAAAGAGTCTGACTTATTTTGGCAAACATGATAATTTTATTTCATCTTATTATTTTCGCATGAGTGCAGATATTAGCCCAGGCAAAGATATTTCAAAATGGTTTCGTTAGAAAACACTTCAGAAATGATGTACAGTCCCCTTCACTAGTGCGTTTACAGGGACTTGCCTGATTTTGTGTGGCAGCCCTGTGTTTGTTTACATTCGACAGAAGGAAACTCGCAAAAGTTAACATACTATGGCATCAAATTAAAACAAATATCTTGTGTAATGATTTGTGGCATGTTTATAACGAGCCCCTGTAAACGTCATCTGGTATAAGGAGACAATAAAAGCGCACCTTTATTATATTCACATCGAAACTAATAATGATTAATCACCTATTAACATAATGTTTTGCAGTACATTAATAACCTTAACTAACTAGACGGTACCTCACACTTTTAAACATTTATCAGGCAGGATGTGACACGTTCATATTACTGTACTTAGTCCGGGAACACGTCGCGTGGGGTCGGATTGTTTTTCATAGGGATATTGTACTCTATATAGCCGAGATAAATGCATGACGAACATTATACAGCATCTAGAAATTAACCGTAAACTTAAACACACACACACCGGGAGAACATGGACTGGTTGGGAGAGGCGGCGGATCTCCTGAAAGTGGGTGGAGTAATGATTGTCGCGGTTCAACTCGGGTAGCTCCTCCTCCCCCCGCAGGTGCTTGGTCCACGCCCTTATCCCCGTCAGATGAGTGTGCAGCTGAGACCCAAAGATGTGGATCCCCTCCTCCGGCAGACCCTGCGACAGGAAGTTTATGGTGTTGAGACATATGTAATTACTTAGACAGGTGTTAAGGTACTGAGAACTAGGTGTTAAGGACTGTCTTACGGAAGTTTGACGGAGCAGAGCGGTGTTAGGGTACAGGGGTACCTGTGGAGGTTCTGGAGCAGGTGTTAGGGTACAGGAGTAGCTGTGGACGTTCTGGAGCAGGTGTTAGGGTACAGGAGTAGCTGTGGAGGTTCTGGAGCAGGTGTTAGGGTACTGCGGGTATGAAGCAGAGATACTCGGACAGGAGTTAGGATTCTGAGGACCACGTGAGAAGACCCTAAAGCAGGAATTAGGTACTGGTGCAGATAAAGAGGTTCCCGACTGTCAACAAAAACAGCGGCTATTGTGGGCATGAAAAATAAGTTTAAAAGTTTACTGCATTTTCGGTTATAATTATCATCTCCCCTCCAGCTGTTGAAGGCCATCTACGCCATATACTGACACTAGTGAGTATAAAACTTCTTTGTTTTTTCCAGTAAGTGCAAGCAGAGATAAAGCATGCTAAAGTATTATAATGTGTGAAAGAGTCTTGAAAAATAGAGAAAAAGAAAATGAAGAATTATATAATTATTAGCGGATAGTGAGGAGACTTGAGTTTGTGGCAAACATCTACTGTATGTCGTGGTACTGCAGTGTGGGTGAGGCAGAAAAAAACTTATCAGAAGAACGGTGTTTCCTCTAGTTTACTGTTGCCACGGGATTACTTATTACTTAAATGAAAGTTTGGTGCAGTAAATAGTGTGAATTGGCTGACCAGCGCTGTGCACTCGGGAACACAGTAGCCGGAGAGGGTGAAGGTGGTCATATGTGGGGGGATGGCCATCTTGCTGGTGTACTCCAGGCCCAACTCCATGATACCCGCATCATGTTGTCTCAGATGATTCTTGTAGTGCAAGGCCAACCCAGAGCTGTCCACGCGACCTGTAAACACACAGCACTAACGTCAGTATTTATAATACAAGCGATCACCTTTATCATTCACAAAACATATGATAGTCGGGAGACAAAAAATATGTAAAACGCAAAAAATATTTTAGTCACAGTGCAGAAAATATGATATAAAAAAAAGAAATACCGTCATTAAAATAAGTATCGACCGACACAAGAATGGTGGAATAGAAACTGAGCGGTAACAACCGAGTGATGCCGGTAACGTCAGGTTTACGTTTACAGTTTCTGCACAAGGTTTTAAATTGTTACTCACGGCAGAACACACAACAGAACACCACACGTGAAGCACCACACGTGAAGCACCACACGTGAAGCACCACACAACAGAGCACCACACGTGAAGCACCACACAACAGAACACCACACGTGAAGCACCACACAACACTACACCACACGTGAAGCACCACACCACAGAACACACGCGTGAAGCACCACACAACAGAACACCACACGTGAAGCACCACACAACAACACCACACGTGAAGCACCACACCACAGGAACACCACACGTGAAGCACCACGCTAGAGGAACACCACACGCGAAGCACCACGCTAGAGGAACACCACACGTGAAGCACCACACTAGAAAATAAGCACTCGTGAAGCACCACACCACAAGAACACCACACACACAAAGCACTATACTGTACATGAAGTACTACAAGTAAAAAACACCCATACATGACCCCACAAAATGCACCACACATTTTTATGAAGCACTACACTAGAATCACCACCACAAAAACATCCCACATGACGTACCACTTAGGAAGCACAACACATGAATCGCTACACATCAAACTCTACATAAGAAGCACCACTCATGAACTACCGCGTTTAAATCATTCCATAAAACTATCCACAAGAAAAATCATATGTGAAGCACCATACATGGAGCGCCAACTATAGAACATCATAAATGAAGCACCGTACATGAAGCATCCCACGAGGAGTTATAGTACATAAAACACTACACAGTGGACATTATAATGAAAGTTTATACATGAAGCACTACTATGAAACACTACCACGAAACACCACACATGGAGGATCACAAATGAATCACTGCATATGAAGCACTAATGATGCACTACACCTGCAGCACTGCAGATGAAGCACACTACACATAGAGCACTATTCATGAAGAACTGCACATGAAGCACACATAGGAAGCACTTATAGCAGCAGAACCCACCAGAGAGTAGACTGGGGTTGTTATAATGGACCTCCAGCATGACGTAAGGGTTGAAGTCTGGCCCGCCAATGGGCATCCCGGCCTCCTGTGTGAAGGAAATGACGTCACTCCTGCGCTTCGTCCTCCAGATTACGTCACTATTACTGTGTAACTATCTTCAGTTTGTCTTACTCACGTTACGAGGGGTGGTAAAAAATTTGCATTTTGGGGGCGTGTATAATTAACGGATAAAACTACAGCCCAAATTTATTATTCAATATAGTGTAGTCTCCTATGACTTCAATACACTTATATCACTACGCCAGTCTGAAGGCTGCTCCTCTGACCATGCCTCAGTAACCTTTGTTATCTCATTATCATCCTGAAAGTGGCCCTTGGAGGTATAACTTCAGGTTTCAAAACAAATAAGTCAGTCGGGGGAAGAACTGGGCTGTTGGGAGAGTGGTTGAGTTACTTAATACTACAGTCATGAGGTGGAGGACCACACCACCAGTCAGCTTTCACCATAGTTACTCCTGGATGATGAAGTGAAGTTTTTACTTTGTAATGAGACCTTAAAATATATCAGATAATTTTGGATTTGGGAAAAAATATACCATCAGAATTTCAAAAGAGGTCCAACAACAATCTCATCTTGGGAATATATGACAAAGACACTGCCTCATATAGCACCGTAACAGGGTGGACCAATGAGCACAACAGCCTTGAGGATGATCCCGTTAAGGATGTCCCTCAGACAGCACTGATGAGGGTGGATCAGAACATCAAAGTTGTTGAAGATGTAAGTGTTATGACCATCACCCATGAACATTTAGGGGTGTCTAAGGTTTCTGCTTCAGACCGAAAGATGGGTTTGAGTCTCAAGTAACTTTAACTGTAGTAAGAATTGGTTTCATCACGGTGACTGCTGCAGAAACAGAAGATCAGACGTCAACACTGCCGGCAATATTATGGTCTTGATTTTCTGCTACACCAAGCCTATTAATTTGAGGCTACTCCATCACCCTCTCTACAGCTCATACCTTTCCCGAAGTGACGATCATCTGCTTCGAACCTTTAAATCCCAGTTCCAAGGTTATACTGCTTTGTGGACGATGAGGAACTAAAGGCGTGGTTTGGAAGAGCAGTTAGCAGACTTCTAAAAGACTGGAAAAATGTACTTTGAAAGACAAGTAGAGTAAATGTGTTGAAGTTAAGGAAGACTTTACTGAAAAATAAAAGTGGTGTGGTTCGGGCATTTTACTATACAGGGAGATTCTCAAAAGCGTGCGATAAATTACAGGGTGTATTCCTGGAGCAATTATAAGGCACAACATTGATAAGAAAAATGTCAAAATTTCGTATAAGAACATAAGAATGGAGGAAACTGCAGCGGGCCTATTGACCCATACTGGGCAGTCCAGTTTATACCCAACCCCTATTGCTCATATAAGCATCCAACCTATGTTTGAAGCTATCCAGCGTATTTGAGTTAATGATAATATTTGGTAACTTGTTCCATTCATCCACTACTCTGTTTCCAAACCAGTGTTCACCTATTTCACGCCGAAATCTAAATTTGTCTAATCTAAAACCATTGTTACAAGTTCGCTCCTGGTTGGATAGTTTGAGTACCTTTGTAATGTCCCCTTTGTTTAACCGTGACTTCCGTTTATGCACCTCTATCATGTCGCCCCTCACTCTACGTCTCTCGAGGTAGTGCAAATTAAGATGCTTTAACCTGTCTCTGTATTCAAGGTTCCTAATGCCCGGGATTAGTCTTGTCATTCTCCTCTGGCTTCTTTCCAATGATTCTATATCCATTCTGTAATACGGTGACCAGAACTGAACTGCGTAATCCAGGTGAGGTCTCACAAGCGCTAGATATAAATTTAAGATGACCTCGCTAGTCTTGTAACTAACACTCCTTTGTAGGAACCCAAGTACTTTATTAGCCTTGTTACGAGCAAAAACACATTGTTTACTTGGCTTAAGATTCCTACTTATCATTACTCCTAAATCTCTCTCGCAGTCGGATTCCACAATGGCATCGTTGTTCATCTGGTAACTGGTTTCCCTGTTTACATCTCCTATACTGAGTACTTTACATTTGTCAACAATGAATTTCATCTGCCATTTTTCCAACCATTCGAAATTTTTTTTTAGATCTTCCTGTAGTTTTGCAGAGTCCTCGTCAGATTTAATTACACCTACAATTTTAGTGTCATCAGCAAATTTACTTATGGTGCTGTCTATGCCGATATCTATGTCGTTTATGTATATAATAAAAAATAATGGTCCAAGTACTGAGCCTTGGGGAACTCCCCTAGTGACGTTGCTCCAATGCGATTTAGTGCCGTTTATGCTCACTCGCTGTTTCCTGTCCCATAACCACGCCCTAATCCATTTAAGGATATTACCTTTGATGCCATGCGCTTCTACCTTTCTAATTAGTCTTTCGTGGGGGACTCTGTCGAAGGCTTTGCTAAAGTCGAGATATACCACATCATAATTGTGCCCCTCGTCCACCGATTCGAAAACTGATGAAAAGAATGTTAATAGATTAGTTAGACATGAACGCCCACTTGTGAAGCCATGTTGGGAATCATTGATCAACCTGTGCTTTTCCAGGTGGTTTCGAATAGAGTTTGAAATAATTGATTCTAGTAATTTACCTACTCTTGATGTTAGACTGATTGGGCGGTAGTTAGAGGATAGTGATCTATCCCCCTTCTTGAAAATCGGTATTACATTCGCTATCCTCCAGGATTCTGGTACTACACCTGTTTTTAATGACATGTTAAACAACTTTGCTAAGGGCATACTAAGCTCTTCCTTACATTCCTTTAATACTCTGGCAACTATCTCATCGGGACCAGGTGACTTATTAGGCTTCAGTTTGTCTATTTGCTTATTAGCATCGTTACTAGTCACTACTATCTCGCTTAATTTGTTTTCTTCACTATCTCTGAATAGAGTGCCTCGGGTATCATGTTTACATTTTCCGTGGTAAAAACTGTTGAAAAATATTTATTTAGATTATTGCTCATTTCTCCGTCGTTTTCAGTTAGCTCGCCGGTATCTGAACGTATTGGTCCAATCTTATCTCGTGTTTTAGTTTGATACATTTGGTAGAATCCTTTGGGGTTTGTTTTCGCCTCCCCTGCTATCTTCAGTTCATAATTCCTTTTCGCTTTCCTTATCTCAGGCCTAACCCCACCGGCCAATACCTTATAATACTCCCGGAGGTAAATTTCACCACGATTTATCCTTCTACCTATAGCCTTCCTTTGGCCAATAATGTTCTTTAAATAATTATTTATCCATTTAGGGTCATTGTTGTCTGATCTGAGTTTTTTGTATGGTATGTTCTGCCTTTGTGCATTAAGTAACTCATTATTTAAATTGTTGTGGAACTTGGCAATCTCAGATCTCCTTATCAGGTCCGTGTCATCTGTCAGGTTCACACCCAAGCGCGACACCCCCTCTCTCAGCTGCCTCTTTAAACTATCAAAGTCTGCCCTTCTGAAATCTGGGACTTTAATGGAATCCCTTTTACGTCTGACCTGAAATTCTAACTGGAATCTAATTTCTTTGTGATCGCTGTTTGCAAGTTCGTTCCCTACCTCGACATTGCTAATGAGGTTTTCTCTGTTTGACAGAACTAAATCGAGTATATTATTACCCCGGGTGGGTTCGGTTATATGTTGACTTAGGAAACAGTCCTGGATCGTTTCGAGGAAATCCTCTGATACTGAATTACCCGTAAGGTCAGTCCAATCTATTTGGCCAAGGTTAAAATCGCCTACTATACAGACTTTGTTGTGTATGGAAGCCCTGCGCATTTCATCCCAGATAAGTCGCTCATTAACTCTATCAAGATTGGGAGGTCTATATATAACTCCTATGATTAATTTTTCCCTACCGTCGATTAATTCTATCCAAATTGTTTCTGTATTCCGCTCAGCTTTTATTTCCTTATTTATTTCGCACTTCAGATTATCCCTGACATAGATAGCTACTCCGCCTCCTTTCCTGGACAGCCTATCGGTATGGAACAATTTGTAACCCACAATTTGGTGTTCGACTGGTAACTCACATGAGTTTAGGTTGATCCATGTTTCAGTGAATGCTATTATATCGATTTTTTCGGTACATACCAAGGCCCTAATATCATCCATTTTGTTTCTCATACTTCTACTGTTCGCGTAGTAGACATTTAAGTTAGTCGTGTTCTGAGTCCTCCCTTTACCACGTTTAGGTTTAAAGTCCCTGTCTAATTTAGTTTTGTCATCATTCCTAACACTATTTCCCTGTAATCATTCACTTTGTTTACCCGCTCCCACTGCAGTCTCCTCCACCCCCGTGCCCATATGTTCCCCTAGCAGTTTAAAGACTTCGATATCCTTTGAACTGCCCCCTCTAGAGACCCAGCTAGGGTTGCCACCCCATCTCGAGACAGGTGTACCCTATCCCTAGCGTAAAGGTCCCTTCTGCCGTAGAAGTTGTCCCAGTTGTCAATGAATGGGACTGATATTGACTTGCAATATCCGTCAAGACGGCCGTTGACACCAACTGCCCTTGACAACCATTCACTGCTAACTCTCCTTCTAGGCAGGACACCACATATGATAGGGATCCCTCCCTTAGTCCTAATACGATCTATAGCTGCCTTGAACTTATCAAGAAGCTCCTCGCTCCTACACCGGCCAATATCATTGCCTCCTGCACTGAGGCAGATAATTGGTTTGTTCCCATTACCAGACAAGATATTGTCCATCCTGTCAACTATATCCCCCACCCCAGCCCCTGGCAAACACACCCTCATCCTATTTTCGTTTTTACCACAAAAGGCTCTGTCCATGTACCCTACCTGTGAGTCACCAACAATTAAAGTTTTTATACCTTCCTTGTCAGCCCTGTCCCTGACTGTACTAACGTCCTCGCTACAGCACGTGAAAGAGGTTGAGGTAGTGATAGTGGTGGTAGGAGGTAAACATCCTTAGATTTATTTTTAATTTTATACACATAACTACAGTGTGATACAGTTGTGTTATTAAAGTAAATATTGAAAACTCTCTGCCTCTGTATCTCATTGTGTACAGTTATGTGCACGCATTTCAGATTCACCCCGTACAGTACACCCAGTTTGTAGAGAGCTTTAAGCACCATCATATTAACACGTCAGTATCTCTAGCTTCCACCGGTACCAATACATAACCACCTCCAGATTTTTTTACGTCACTATTTTCACGTCATCACCTCCAGATTACGTCACTATCATCACGTCATAACCTCCAGATTATGTCACTCTCGTCACGTCATCACATCTAGATTGTCACTATCTTCATGTTATCACATCTAGATTGTCACTATCGTCACGTCATTGTCATCAGTTCATATCACTATTATTATGTTACTGCTTGCATAACTCTTACTTGTTATACTGGCATCCTAACACTGCGTCACTACATAAACCGAAAGAAAATCTTGAATATCCTAAAGTTGTTGTGCTTCGTAGAAAATATCTAAAGGTACAGAACTGTGTTAAAAAACCATGACTGTTGACGCGCCTACATACACTGCATAGGACTAGACAGAATTCCTCGGCTCGTCGCTACAATGGAAAAGTTTATAGATTATTTCAAAGATTCTCCATATCGGGCGGCCATGCTTAAATTCAACTGACTTAATAGTAATTATAACAATGTAACAAAAGAATTAGCTGCCAAAGAACTCGGTAATCCTGTTATTAGTTTGTAATTTTTTAATAAAAGTTTTTGTGCTCGTGGACTTATGCATTAGTGTGTGTGTGTGGGTGGGTGGGCGGGATGGGGTGTGTGTGGGTGGGTGGATGGGGTGTGTGTGGGTGGATGGGTGTGTGTTAATGTGTGTGTTAGACAAAGGTTACTCACGGGAGGGTATATGAAGGCTGAGGCGCCCATAGCCCAGGCGGCCAACACACGTTTACAAGCGTCTACCTCAGGAGTACGGTCAGCGGCATGACATGGTCCCTGTAGGAAGGTGAGACCATTTAAATGTATTCACTATTATCTTTAAGCAACACTAAATATTGTAAATTCTCACATACAATCCTGTTGTGATCGTCTACTATCAAGGGGACGCGGACAGTGTGTCGTACTTGCGTAATACCTGTTTATACACCCGTGGTATGACACATTATAAAGATCCGCCGTGGAATTTTTATCCCTGTAAAACCCAAAGAAAGTATTCTAAAATAATGTTATCTCATACTGTACACATATACAGATAAAGTACCAGGTTACAAGGAGAGACAGACCCACCTGGTATCTTGGGACGTCCACCTCAGGTGGATACTCGCAGTGGAACACCTCCATGTGGTGAACTATATTCTCGTTGCCCTTTTCGATGACCGGTCCAAACTGTAGAAGCACACACGAGGGTTTATAATTATATAGACGTACTGTATATAGTCATTGCTATATAAGTCATTGGATTCTCAGCAAAAATGTCACTTGTCTCCATACTAGATAATTCACACATCTTCACTGTGACGACTCTGTCCCCTCCTCACTCTACCTCCATAACCATCACTTGCTCCGACTTGACCCCAGGAGAAGAAACTGCTTCACGAAGCTACTCGACCCCAATGAGCACCGCTTCAAAACCAGTTGCCCATCCGACTAGGAGACCAGTTTCCCATCTGACTATAGGACCGAGGTATCGAGGCAAGTGTATCTGCCTAGTAAGCAGACTAGCTGAGTCTCTTCTCTGCGGTCTACGATGTTCCTTCTCCCGGGGTGTGGACGACGAATTTATTGAGGACTATTGCTGGTGTTGTTGTGTTGGTTTGATGGTAGTGGACTACGGCGTTAATCCCTGTTTCCTTGTGGTTGGTCATCGCAACCTAGACTTCCTGAGCTGCCAGTTCTATCAGGTTTTTGTGTTGTTGTATATAGTAGGTGTATTTAATGTTCAAAGTAAGAATAACTGGGTATATTCTGGTGTGTTTTGGTAAATGCATAGTTGTTACTTTTGTTTGGATAATTGCATATATTGTTTTACTTGTACTATTTAATGTACCTAATTAACTAACTTAATCAATACTTAATATAAATGTTATTAAATCCTTACTTTACATAATAATAATCTTATCCCTTTCATAATTTAAATTTGTCTGTCACAAACAGTAATTCTTGTGTGTGTGTTCCTTACTTGCTGCATCCACGTATTTCAACCCCTAGATTATTCACTCTGTATTTTTACTTGTCAACTTTGCCTTCCCTCAGTGTTGTGGGTAGCAAGGAGGGACATCACGTCACCCAGACCCGTACTAATACCATCTTGCATACGTTGTTTTTTTTCTGATCAATTTCTACATAGTGATCATAGGAAGATGTTACTCTGATCACAGGATGACTGATTTAAACGACAGTTTTGTCAAGAGAATCAAAGTGGTCGGGAGTGTTGCTCGGCGTATAGGAGCTACCGCCTTAACCCATGAAGGAATCGTTCTTCAGACATAACGTGTGGCCACCGTGAAGAGGTTCTTTCACTCAGTCCACACAAACACCTTTAGTTACACTGTACTACTACTTTGCTGTCACTCGGATTCGAGTACGACGATCATCCAGCTCTGATATAATAATACGAAATATTAAGGATGTCACTTTCATTGGTGAGCTCTGAGGTGATTCGAGAGGCCGATACGAAACCGGCAGGGTCGTCAACACATCAAGTGCGGGAAGGGCGGCGGCAGCTTCTTTCCGGCGCTAGGCGCTTGTCTGCCTCGAAACTACAGTGTGCATTAATGTCTCTCATGTGTGGGTGTCGATTTGACACTTCTTCAGGTTTATTAAGACTATCCTCATACCTTTTCAGTTTCCCGGCAACATTACGTTTACCATTCGTTAGGTGACTGTAAAGTAGCTGCTTTGGCAGTCTACTGTCGTCCATGCAGGTAACATGACCAGTCCAATGTAATTGTTCGTGAATAATGGCGGCCTCGATACTCCTTCACTTAAGAAAAAGAACATAAGAATGGAGGAAACTGCAGCGGGCCTATTGGCCCATACTAGGCAGTCCCATTTATACCCAATCCCTATTGCTCACATATCCATCCAACCTATGTTTGAAGCTATTCAGCGTATTAGAGTTAATAATGATATTTGGTAACTTGTTCCAGTCGTCCATTACTCTATTTCCAAACCAATGTTTACCTATCTCGCGCCTAAATCTAAATTTGTCTAATTTAAAACCTTGTTACGAGTTCGCTCCTGGTTGGATAGTTTGAGAATACTGGCATTTGTTCTCTTGTCTTCCCAGCGAGTTCGGAGGATGGAACGTAGACTACGTTGGTGAAAGTTTTCAAGTGCCATGAGGTGCCTCCTGTATGTGAACCCATATCTCCCTACCATATAGCATGGTAGGGAGGACCACTGCTCGATATCGTGCAACTTTGTAGATAATTTCGGCTCCGTACAGCTGAAGACATGGGTTGAATCTGTTCATCGATGTCCGTGTCGGTGGACAGGTGGGAGACGAGATATGGCATCACGAAAATTGTGACCAAGTCCCAGGTTGCTGATCTGACTTTTTGCCTCATTTACACACAATTGCAGGGTCTCAATTGTTTCTCTTACTATTGACAACACAACTTACATATATTGTTTCTCATTTTTTATCTTTTTTTCATTTTCTATTTCTTTATGATTCATTATTATTATTATTATTATTATTTTTATTATTATTATTATTATTATTATTATTATTAATACATTTTTCGACCCCCACCCTCAGCCGCGATGTGGGTTGTGGACCTGTACCGGTGAGCCATTCTCGTAAAAAAAAAAAAAAGGTTGTACTGTTAAGTTGGATGGATGGAGGAGGTGTGGTTGAACCAGGGGCAGGTTGAGGAAGAATCTGAGTCTTACGTACCATTCATCTCAATGCCTAAGTGCGCATACGATCTGCGTAGGTGTTCAGGATCTCCTGTGGGTTGCGTTCTGTGTGAAAGACGAGAATGACGTCGTCTGCACACTGAAGATAGTAATAAAACCTGCCGACATCATTGTTCCTGACTGCAGTCGTCTGATGTCGAAAAGTCCCTTTATCCGGTACTGGATGTCCACCCCACCGGCTACATTGGCACTGCCAAGAGTAAGGAAGGCACCCAAGAAGAGAGAAAATAGAGTTGGTGCCAGTACACACCCTTTTTTAACCCCTGTTTAGATGAAGAAAAACTCAGACTGGGTGCCAATGGACAGGACACTGCCGTTCATGTCATCGTGGAGTTGCCTCACAATGGCGACGAATTTTGGTGGGTAGTCAAAATGGTGAAGGGTCCGCCAGAGGGCTTCCCCGTTGACAGAGTCAAAGACCTTGGTAAGGTCGATGGAGTTCATGTACAGGTCACGACTCTGTTCTCTTCACTTTTCCTCTATCTGGCGCACAACAAAGATCATGTCACTGGTGCCATGTGGTGGTCTAAATCAACGAGATCCCGCGGTAGTTGTCACAGCCTGACTGGTCTCCCGCGTTCTTAGGCATATTGACGCTGGAGGTGTCTTTAAGAGCTTGGGTGCTGAGGGACCTACTGTGTAGTCAGGACATCCACATCAGTGTTTCGGTTGAGCAGCGAATGATAGTACTCTTTCCAGCACTGAAGGATGCCTCCTTAGTCTTTAATTAGGGAGTTACCGTCGGATGAGCGTTGGGGAACTGGACCATTGAGTGATTGGTCCATAAAATGTTTTAGTGGAAACGAAAAATTCACACATCTTGTGTTGATCTGCAAGTTTTGCTTTTCCAAGCTTTATTTTTCAACCATTCGTTCTTTAGATTGCGAAGTTCAGGCTGGGCCCCCGCTTTCTTCTTGCTTGTGGAAGGTATCTGCTTTGATCCGAGACGGAGGGTTGTTCTGCCAGTCAGTTAAAGCAGCATGTTTATCATTGACGAGTTCACTGATTTCCGGGTCATTTTTACCAAACCAGTCCTGGTGTATTCTTTCGATCTAGGTTGAGGGGGGTCTCTGTAGGGTTTTGTCATGACAGTGTCGAGAATACACCATTCGGCACTGGGATTTGGGTTGTTTGTTGTCGGGTTGTTTATCAGCTTATGTTCAAGTTGCTCTCTGAAAGCATGTGCTACCGCTGGTTCCTCCAGACGCTTAGTGTTAAAACCTCTTCTGGAGGCTTTTTGCCTTCACCGTTTTGGGGCGACGTGGAGGGAGAGTTTGACTCTTGTGTGTCTGAGCTATGCATGGCTCGGGGGATGAGGACATCTCTGCGATTTCTTTCTCTGACAGTGATGTAATCAATGAGATGTTAATGTTTGCTTCGTGACTGTTGCCACGAACCCTTGAACTTGTCGGCCTACCTAAATAAAGTTTTGGTGAAAGTGAAGTTGTGTTCAGCACACTTGCTGGGGAGGAAAAGGCCGTTGGGATTACATATCCACACTTCGTTTCTCCCTAGGGTTCCCTGCCCTATGTCAGCATCTCTGCCAACTCTAGCACTGAAGTCAACGAGGAGCACAACCTTATCTTCTCTGGGGATAGAGTTTAGCACTCTGTCAAAGTCAGTGTAAAAGCTCTCATTGTTGTCGTCATCTTCGTCCAGTGTTGGGGCGTATGCATTGATGATGAAGGCATGATGTAAGTAATTCAGTGGGACTTGGGGCGTCATGACGGGCTCGTTGATACAAAGAAGCGTTTCAGTCGGCCTACGTAGGATGGGTTGGCAAATGGCAAAACCAACTCCGTAAATGCAGTTTCTCTACACAGCAGCTTACCCTTCTAGAAGAAGGTATAGCTGGACATCTGTTCTGTGAGTTGACCCTCGTCTGGGAGCCAGGACTCACCAATGGCTGCTATGTCGATGTTATACCTAGCCAGCTCTTTTGCCACAAGAGCAGTTCTTCTTTCAGGATGCTCATTTGTGCTAGTATCCAGAAGGGTCCTGACATTTCATGCAGCGACCATAAGAGGTTTAGTTTGTTTTTGCATTGATCTGTAATAAAGGTGACCTTACTGGGTGCGGTTGCTCAGTCAGGTTTAGGGCACCTTTTCTACCCCCTTCCTATGTAGGGTGAACAGAGTGGCGCCCTAAAAAGGGGCTGCTCAGTCACACAGGCACGACCGGTTTACACTGCTACCTAGATCCCAGTGCATAAATGACTATCTTATATCTGCCGTCCATGTGCAGAGTTGTGAATAGAGACTCCCGGCAGTCATCTCTGCCTGTCCCCGTCGCCACTCGTCTGTCGCCATAAGACTTTTGGGTAGTTAGTGGCTCTGATGATGAGGGAATGCATGATGAGCTGGATGATGACTGCTCGTGAATTGATTTATGTGGTGAGGCAGGAACACAGGCTGCACCGACACATCTTGGGTTTCCTTTTCCTGATCCAGTGGTGCTGGTAGCTGCAACAACTGGAAAGAAGGAGAGTTGCAATGGACTGCTGATAGCCCAGATCTTGGGTTTCGCCCTGGTACCCTCTCCATCTTGCATTGCCCTCATCCATCAGTGTAGTCGTTGGGTTCCAGTGTTGGTCACCTTTTCCACCTATTCTGCTGTTGAAGTCTTACTGGAACTTTGTAGGAATGTCTGCCTGACGTGGGGTTCCATCGCAGATTTTTCTTTGGGGTTTACCTCTGTAGCCTTATACCGACCAAGGCAACGGGGCAGTGTTTGGTATGCGTCAGGCATTGTCCACATGCCATTGGGCCTATGCACCGTCACTCTGGGGCCCACTGCTGCTCCGAGATCCACTGCTGGTCTAGCCTGGGGCCTCGAAGCACCTAGTTACCGTGTGTTGCCACGAGGAGGTAGAGCAGGAGTCTTGATGGTGAAGAGGCTGTGTTCTGGCAGGGGAAGACTTACGCAAGGCTACATCCCTGTTCACCACGAGGGGCTAGCCAGCGGCAGTAGCTGAAAGCAAGAGAGAGCAAGCATGTTGCTACGCTGTACTCGACACCCACCACCCTGTGTACACACACACACACACACACATACATCACCTCCAAAATATGATGTTTCTCCTGGAAGGCTTCTGGGAGCTTCACAACGGTGCACCAGTATGTGGTCTCCTCGGCAGGTACCTCCACCTTCTTGGACCTTATCTGTATCAAGGCAACAATGGGTAAGAGTAATGTACACACAGGGCCACCGTCGGCACCAAAGAACCTCAGAGCAATAATAGATCTATTGTGTGACCTGAGAATAAAATACACATAAATGCGTTTGCAAATTCAGATTAAGCAAGAGAGAACTGGGAGCTTCATGTGTTACAAGACAACTCAGTCCCATTCCCAGTAGGTCCAAGCCTTACCTACCGTTACCTTACCTTACCTTACCTTACCTTACATAAGAACAGAACAACATAAGAATGGAGGACACTACAGCAGACCTATTGGCTCATACTAGGCAGCCCCATTTACACCCAATCCCTGTCCCTCATATATCTGACCAAACTGTATTTGAAGCTACCCAGCGTGTTAGAGTTAATGATGAAGTTAGGTAACTTGTTCCACTTGTCCACTACTCTATTTTCAAACCAGTGTTTACCTATCTCGCGCCTAAATTTAGATTGGTCTAATTTAAAACCATTGCTACGAGTTCGTTCCTTTTTAAATAGTTTAAGTACCTTTTGTTATATCGCATTTGTTTAGCCCTGACTTCCATTTATACACCTCCATCATATCGCACCCTCACTTTACGTCTCTCGAAGGGGTGCAAATTCAAATACTTTAATCTCTCTGTTCCTAATGTCCGGGATTAGTCTTGTCATCCTCTTCTGAATGCTTTCTAGGGATCCCATATCCATTCTGTAGTAAGGTGACCAAAACTGACTTGCATAATCCAAGTGAGGTCTCACAAGCGCAAGATATAGTTTTAGGATAACCTCGCTAGTCTTGTAACTAACACTCCCGTGTAAGAAGCCAAGTACTTTGTTAGCCTCGTTTTGAGCAAATATGAATTGTTGTCTTGGGTTAAGATTTCTTCTCACAATCGGATTTCTCTATATCAACGCTGTTCATCTGATATCTGGTTTCTCTATTTACATCTCCTAGGCTAAGTATTTTATATTTGTCCACATTAAATGTCATCTGCCATTTTTCAAACCATTAGAATTTTTTTTTTTAAGATCTTCCTGTAGTTTTGTGGAGTCCTCGTCAAATTTAATTGCACGCCCTATTTTAGTGTCGTCAGCAAATTTACTTATGCTGCTGTCTACGCCGATATCTATGGTCCAAGTACTGAGCCTTGGGCTACTCCACTAGTGACGTTACCCAATCGGATTCATTGCCATTAGTGCCGACTCTCTGTTTCCTGTCCTTTGTTAAAGTCGAGGTATACCACATCATAATCGTGACCGTCATCCACCGATTCGAAAACAGTTGAATGTTAATTGATTAGTCAGACATGAACGCCCACTTGTGAAGCCATGTTAGGAATCATTGATCAGCTTGTGCTTCTCCAGGTTATTTCGAATAATGTTTGAAATTATTTTTTCCAGTAATTTGCCTACAATTGATGTTAAACTAATTGGACTGTAGTTAGAGGAGAGTGATCTATCCCCCTTTTTGAAATTCGGTATCACATTCACTATCCTCCAGGATTCTGGTATTACACCCGTTTTTAATGATATGTTAAAAAATTTACTAAGGGAATACTAAGCTCTTCCTTACATTCCTTTAATACTCTGGCAAATATCTCGTCGGGACCAGGTGACTTATTAGGTTTTAGTTTATCTATCTGTTTACTAACATCGTTACTAGTCAATAATATCTCACTTAATCTATTTTCTTGATTACCTCTGTATACAGTCGGTGCCTCGGGTATAATGTTTCAATTTTCGGTGGTGAAAACAGATGAAAAATATCTGTTCCGATTATTGCTCATTTCTCCATCGTTATCAGTTAGTTTTCGGTACCTGACTGTATTGGTTCAATCTTGTCTCTTACCTTACCTTACCTTACCATACCTTACCTTACCTTACCTAACCTAACCAACAGAGATTTTGAAATTTGCATTAAGAAGACGGGCCTCATTCATTATAGATCCTACCTAAGCTCTTTATGGACCATTGTTCAACTCTTTGTGGACTAGGGTTTGTGGATGATGGTTTAAACCTTTGTAAATGATGGTTTAACCGTTTTTATGGTGGTTTAACCCTTTAAGGACGATAGATTAACCTTTGCGGATGATGGTTTGACCTTTGTGGGTGATGTATTACCTTTGAGCAAGATAGTTAACATTTGAGGACGATTGTTTAACCTTTCCTGGATGATAACTTAACCTTCTCTTTCTTCAAAATAAGTTTACCTTCATTCCCAAAAGTTGGCCTCATGACAAGTGGGGTCAATTTGGGTTGGGCCATATTCCTAATGATTACTGTAAGGACTCAGTTACCCATTACATTTAGGTTAGGTTAGTTATTAACACAGTGTTGTGCTTAAGACGTGGTCTACTGTTGGCATTGGTCGACGGATGCTGTGGACAGGAAGACATAGATCTGACGGTAACTACTGTACAGGTTTCCATTTGAGCTGGCAACCATAAGCCCTGTGGCAGTGGTGCTTGTTGACATTCCTGTAGACGCGCTCTAGAGGCAACCCAGGGTGTTAGACCAGTCACAGGACATACGTGTATTACTGGTATTACTGCAAATATGCATCAAAATACTTTCGTCTTTCATCTGAATATTGTGTCCTTTGTACATTCGGACATTTTATATATTTTTTTTAAATTGAAAATCTGCAGAGAGTTTAACTCCCAGAGATTTTATGTATACGCGTATGAAGACGTCATCGAGACAGATTAAGTGAACGTAAAATCCCCGCACAGTTATTTGACCAGAGTCCATAACAATATAACTAATAGCAGCAGCTTCAGTATAGTTTCAGCTTCGTCTGCACTTTCTCTTCATCAGTGGGCCCTGTCGAGTTCATCTCCCTGTCGAATTGATTTTCCTAAATTGGTTATTAATATTTAACATCTGTTTGACTGTAGTTTTAAAGAGTGACCCAGAGAGGTAAAGTTCTCCACCGAGTTGAGAGAAAATCGCCAAGCTTACGAGTTCTATGCTGGGAAAATATTAATTGTTTTAACTGTGTTATACGTGATGTCATGGTCAGCCGTAAATACTTCGTATCTAATCGTCAGCTTCTGCAGGACAAGAGCAGAAGAACCAACCCAACCATGCCTGGCCATCAACATAGAGTAGAGTAGATTACGTTATTAAAACAGGTGTTGGCTACAAGTACACTTACCAAATAAAATTTTCATAATTATGTAAATGAATACAAGTTTAAATTATATTTACATTTCATATAGTATAGATCAAAGCCACAATAGACGATGCTGAAACAAAAAATAATAATAATTTGAATTCATTATATTAGTTTTTTTCAACAGAAGTCAAGTCACTAGAATAAACACTTGAGCTATTCATTATTATCCAGACCAGGTTAGGTTAAGTTCGTTCGGGTTATTTGGAGTTTATTGTGTTGATCCGTCAAGATCCTCGTTGAAAATACCCAAAGTCACGTTCTAGCATACAACAGCGTATAAAAGAGGACGCCGGCCCTTAAGTAGTTAGAGAGACAAGAGAATTATAGATTTAATAACGAGTAAAAGACCATTGGAGACAGAGAGAGAGAGAGAACATGACTCACCTCCAGCACCTGGCAGTCCTTCTTGTGGTGGTCAGGTCGCACCAGGCTGGGTTTCAACAACTGCACCCTTACCATACCCGTACTGTCGCCCCTGGCCAGTACTCCTGTCAGACGGTAGAGCGGTCCCTCGCCCCACGCCCACACCACATGTGTCGTACCTCCCTGCCACCACACCAACTATATCAGTTCCTTAATCTTTAGTGTACAGTCGGGGTCAAAAGTCTTGAACACTTGACAATATTTGGCAAGTAAGTACCCAAAGATCTAAGGTATTAAGCAGAGTTTTATCCCATTTTCTGGCTCAGGCAAAATATGTGATGACAAGTAGTGTTATTAGTATATCTCAATCATATGTGTATAACTCAGAAGTAAATGCCAGATATTGCTAAGTGTTCAAGACTTTGACCCCGACTGTACTTCTCACTTGACTGAGTGAGAAGACTTTTGGACCAGCTGACACACTTATTTTAAAGCCTATGTGTGTAAAGAAGACGTTAATAGTGTGTTATGTGTTCACTTATAACGTTAGTAGTGTGTTGTGTGTGTACAGATAACGTTAATAGTGTGTTATGTGTACAGATAACGTTAATAGTGTGTTATGTGTATCGATAACGTTAGTAGTGTGTTGTGTGTGTACAGATAACGTTAATAGTGTGTTATGTGTACAGATAACGTTAATAGTGTGTTATGTGTATCGATAACGTTAATAGTGTGTTGTGTGTGTAAAGAAGACGTTAATAGTGTGTTATGTGTATCGATAACGTTAATAGTGTGTTGTGTGTGTACAGATAACGTTAATAGTGTGTTATGTGTTCACTTATAACGTTAATAGTGTGTTGTGTGTGTACAGATAACGTTAATAGTGTGTTATGTGTATCGATAACGTTAATAGTGTGTTGTGTGTACAGATAACGTTAATAGTGTGTTGTGTGTGTACAGATAACGTTAATAGTGTGTTGTGTGTGTACAGATAACGTTAATAGTGTGTTGTGTGTACAGATAACGTTAATAGTGTGTTGTGTGTGTACAGATAACGTTAATAGTGTGTTATGTGTACAGATAACGTTAATAGTGTGTTGCGTGTGTACAGATAATGTTACATAGTGTGTTGTGTACAGATAACGTTAGTGTGTTGTGTGTACAGATAACGCATAGTGTGTTGTGTGTACAGATAACGTTAATAGTGTGTTATGTGTACAGATAACGTTAATAGTGTGTTGTGTGTGTAAAGAAGACGTTAATAGTGTGTTATGTGTATCGATAACGTTAATAGTGTGTTGTGTGTGTAAAGAAGACGTTAATAGTGTGTTATGTGTACAGATAACGTTAATAGTGTGTTATGTGTATCGATAACGTTAATAGTGTGTTGTGTGTTCACTTATAACGTTAATAGTGTGTTGTGTGTGTACAGATAACGTTAATAGTGTGTTATGTGTGTACATGTGATAACGTTAATAGTGTAACGTTAATAGTGTGTTATGTGTACAGATAACGTTAATAGTGTGTTATGTGTTCAGATAACGTTAATAGTGTGTTGTGTGTGTACAGATAACGTTAATAGTGTGTTATGTGTAGATAACGTTAATAGTGTGTTGTGTACAGATAACGTTAATAGTGTGTTATGTGTGTACAGATAACGTTAATAATGTGTTGTGTGTACAGATAACGTTAATAGTGTGTTGTGTGTACAGATAACGTTAATAGTGTGTTGTGTGTGTACAGATAACGTTAATAGTGTGTTATGTGTGTACAGATAACGTTAATAGTGTGTTGTGTGTGTACAGATAACGTTAATAGTGTGTTGTGTGTACAGATAACGTTAATAGTGTGTTGTGTGTGTACTGATGACATTACTAGTGTTAGTATGTACAGAAGACAGGTACAGTGCCTACATTTCGTATATTTTAGAAATACAGTCTATAGTCTCTAGACTATGGTTGTAAATCTGAGAATGACTCATAATTGTACACACAACCAAAAAGTATCTTTAAAATTTTGTGTGACAATAATTATGACACAACTGAAGGAGGATTTTAACACCTACAGATAATATGTATAAGTCAATACATGTTAACGGTATATGGGCAAATATATATATATATATATCTATATATATATCTATATATATATATATATATATATATATATATTATATCTAAATTAATGTACGTGTACAAAAAAATCATACCTACAGTGTGACCAACACACCCATATATTAAACATACCTTAACAGTAAGTACTATTGCATGGTCTCTTTAATGGAGTTTCATGATTTGCAGATTTTATATTTAATTCTGAATATTTTGTATAATTTAACCATTATAGTTCAAAGTTTTTAGTTTCCTGACTGTTTTTAATACAATACTTTGTTTAAGATATTGGGAGAGTTTCTTTAATACAAATGGTGTGTGTGTGAAATTGTATTTATCTTAACAGGCATGATACACACCTGCATGACACATCTGGTATATGACACAAATATGATTTATTGTCCTGGGTGATGCACATGACACATGATATACTACACCCCTGTGTGACACACCTGGTACAACATGCACCTACACAAGTGGTGCCCTGGGTAACACCTGTATGACGTAGTGTCTTGGGTGACACATCTGCTACACACCTGTATGACGTAGTGTCCTGGGTGACAGGTGTCGAACTTCCTGGAGAAAGTGAATTTGATGATGTCATCTTGGAGCTTATAACGGAAGTCTTGACAATCCTGATGTTCGGATACGACCAGGCGCCCCTTCCCCCCTACCACGGCGTTCTGTGAGGCAGGAGGCGCTATTGGGCACGTTAGGGAAGACATGGAGCGTTATGGGGAAGGTAGATGGGGGCAGGATCCAGTGACGTTAAAAGCACAAAGATTTATTGGCGCTCTAGGTCACTATGTGGGGTATGGGATGTTGGAGTTGCATTGAGTCATGGGTGATACAGTAGGGCACGTGTTAGAGGAACTGTGGGGTACGTATTAGATGGTAGTGTTTGGTGGTGCTGCGGATGAAGGAATGACAGTGGTGCTGCATAGGAAGGAAAGATAGTGGCACTGTGAGATTGAATCTTAATCTTAAATTTTGTCGTGGCCTCAGAGGTCACAGCAATTCTTTGTCATACTCGAGTAGTCAGGTTTTTGTGGCACTGAATTATACAGCGTATTTTCAGTTCATTGTCTGTGAAGATCTGTACTTAGGACTTCTCTACTTATTATGTATCTACTAAGTGGAAAATACGGATATAGACTTAATATGTGACCAGAAAAGGTGTGTGGTCACATGTTGGCCACACAGGTTACAGTGGCCACACAGGTTACAGTACGTACACCATAGATAGTGTAATTATACAATAAGGTAAACAAAAAGGCAATTGGAAACAGGATAGCCAACAAAACCACCAGATGTTGTTTCCAATAGGGCCCTTTAAAGGGAAGTGCCTTGCTAGCTTCCACGACTTGTACTAATAGACTGTTCCACATGTCTACCACCCTCTGAGTGAAGAAGTATTTCTTTATATTCGTCCTGCATGACACCTTGGTGAACTGGAAGGCGTGTCCTTTTAAGGTGGTGGCGCGTGACTTCGGGAAAATTTTAACTGGCATTACGTCATTTACCCTTTTCAAGATTTCAAATATTCTGACTTCTGCCCTGTTGTGTCTTGTCTGAAGAGTTGTTTGTCCTAAATCCCTCAGTGTGTTTGAGGATAGATCGAGTTAGTGTAATTCAGGAAACCTCTTTGTCACTTTGTGTTTCACCTATTCTAGGATGTTATGCATGTGTACGGTAGTCCAGATGAGACGTCCGAGATGCATATAAACTTGAAGGAGCATTTCTGTATGTATATTTTTGAAGGAACGACTTACGGTTCCCAAGATTCGTTTGGCTTTTTTAACAGCTACTAGCAGTTGTTGCTCTACCTTCAGTGATTGCTCTATAACGACGCCTAGATTTTTCACTTATCAACAGTTTTCAGAAAGTTAATTAAACAGAGTAGCAGTGATTCGGGTTGGTGCGTCCCACGCGCAGAGTTTTACAATTTAGGTTAAAAATTATTTGCCTGTCCTGCGACCATTTGAACAGCTCCTGCGGGTCTTTTTGCATAGTTGCGACATCTTCATTTGACACCTTCCCATAAATCTTCGTGACCAAACTTGATTATGTGGCTTGGTTTATTTTCTTGAATATCGTTAATGTAGATTACAAACATGGTGGATCCCTGGATAATCCTTATGGTACTCCACTGAGAACTTGTCTCTATTCTGAATGTTTTTGTGCCAGTGCTAATCTACTTCAATGTTTTGCCTTTGGTACCATGTGCCTGGATCTTGGAGGCTAGTCGTGTAAGTGGGACTTTGTCAAACGCCTAAAAAATAAATGTACTGTTTAACACATCCACTGGTAAACCTTGGTGTACTCGTTTGTTTCGAGAAAAGTGAGTAAGTTTGCCAGAAAAGATTTTGTTTAAATGAAACCGTGTTGTGATGCGTTTACAAGACTGCGTTTCGTCAGGTACTGGATGATGGCATTTCTATAAAAAAAATAAAAATCTTGTTTTCATATGTGTTCTCTTAGGCTGATCTGCCTATAGTTTTCTGCTGCATTTATTCCAGTCACTAAGCGCTTTCCTTGATGCAGAGATTTTAGTGGAATACAGTTTACTGAGTACGTGTGCAAATGAGGAATTGCTGAATTAATAATATATTTTAATCTATCTCAATTAACCAAGAATACTGGATGAAGGTTTCAGGCCTCTGTATCAGCTTTATCGTCATCGATCTAGTAGTCAGTCTTGGCTTACCAGTCTTGTGTGTGATGTGAATACATACATTACTGGAGTTTTCATCTGGCGACAGTAAGTGTGGAAGTTCGGGTTAGTCATAAGAACTTAAGAATGGAGGAAAGTGCAGCAGGCCTATTGGCCCATACTGGGCCGTCCTGTTTACACCCAACTCATATCGCTCATATATCCACCCAACCTATGTTTGAAGCTATCCAGCGTATTGGAGTTAAAGATGATATTCGGTAATATGTTCTATTCATCCACTACTCTATTTCCAAACCAATGTTTATTTATCTCTCACCTAAATCTAAATTTGTCTAATTTAAAACCATTGCTACGAGTTCTCTCCTGTTTAGATAGTTTGTGTACGTTTGTAATATCACCTTTATTTAACCTTGACTTGCATTTATACCACGCGATCATATCGCCCCTCATTCTACGCCTCTCACAGTGGAAATTAAGATGCTTTAACCTTTCTCTGAACTATTTCTAAGGATGCTATATTCATTTTGAAGTACGGTGACCAGAAATGTACTGCATAATCCAAGTGAGGTCTCACAAGCGCAAGATATGGTTTTAGGATGACCTCGCTAGTCTTGTAACTAACACTTTTGTATCAACCCCAGTACTCTGTTAGCCTTGTTTCGAGCAAATGCATATTGTTGTCTTGGTTTAAGATTTCTACTTATCATTACTCCTAAATCTTTCTCACAGTCGGATTTCTCTATAACATCGTTGTTCATCTGATATCTGGTTTCTCTGTTTACATCTCCAAGACAAAGTACTTTCATTAGCCATTTTTCAGACCATTCGCTTTTTTTTAAATCTTCCTGCAGTCTTGCGGAGTCCTCGACAGATTTAATTACACGCCCTATTTTAGTGTTATCAGCAAATTTACTTATGTTGTTGTCTACGCCTATATCTGTCGTATATATATATATATATATATATATATATATATATATATATATATATATATATATATATATATATATATATATATATATATATATATATATATATATATATATATATATATATATATATATATATATATATATATATATATATATATATATATATATATATATATATATATATATATATATATATATATATATATATATATATATATATATATATATATATATATATATATATATATATATATATATATATATATATATATATATATATATATATATATATATATATATATATATATATATATATACTATATATATATATATATCCATATATATATATATATATATATATATATATATATATATATATATATATATATATACACACACACTAGCGGAATCGCCGCCCTCCGGGCGGCTCTTTCGCTAGGCCACGGTAGGACGCCACCCTCCGGGAGGTTCCACATTGTCTCACTGTAGTGCATTAAGATGTCTGCTTTGATCCTGACTTTGTACTCTTCAGTAGACATGTTTTCCAGGGCATTTTTAAATGACTATACATACGTGTTGCGCTCATACAGCATTTCTTGGATAGATAGGACAATGTCATGTCTGACACCTTGAATGTTGCCACACCTGGTAGTAGCCTACTTTTCATGATCTCCCATTAAGTAGATTTGGAGGAACTTTGCCTGCTCATCTTCCAGTGGTAAGAGGGATCCTGCTTTGTGATAGACTTGACCCTGGACTTTGAATGTGGGCATGTATCCGTGCTCACGAACTACTCTAGTAGCTCAAAAGGATGTCATCTGGAAGCATGAATTGTACTTCCGTATATTTTCCAAGAAGTGTTTTTGACTCTGGTGTTGTTCCCAGCATGAGAGTCTTCAATGGTTGTGGTGGTTTTTCCAAATTTGGCAGTCGTACTTTCCCCTGAGAGCAGCACACTCCAGCAGATTCTCCTTTATACTTCTTTGCACCGCAGTATTCACATTTCTTATCCATGTTACCAATGACAACAGAGGGATACTTTTCATGTTCTGTATATAACATCATCCATCATCACTACATATAACATCATCCATCATCACTACATATAACACCATCCATCATCACTACATATAACACCATCCATCATCACTACATATAACATCATCCATCATCACCATATAACACCATCCTTCATCACTACATATAACATCCATCATCACTACTTATCCATCCATCATCACTACACTATAACATAATCCATCATCACTACATATACATCCACCATCAACATCACATACATATCACCACTTTATCCATCATCACTACATATATCATCCATCATCACTACATATAACTCCATCCATCATCACTACATATAACACCATCCATCATCCTCCATATAACACCATCCATCATCACTACATATAACACCATCCCATCATCACTACATATATCCTCACACATCATCCATCATCACTACATATAACAACATCCATCATCACTACATATAGCAACATCCATCATCACTACATATAGCATCATCCATCATCACCATATATAACATCATCCATCATCACTACATCACATCACATATATAACACCACCCATCATCACTACATATATGCATCATCCATCATCACTATATATAACACCATCCATCATCACTACATATAACAACATCCATCATCTACAGATCAGAGATTCCTCGTGTGGACACACAAACACACATGCTTCTTTGTTATATTATATATATATATATATATATATATATATATATATATATATATATATATATATATATATATATATATATATATATATATATATATATATATATATATATATATATATATATATATAATATAGTAGTAATGGTCCAGGTACTGAGCCTTGGTGTACTTACTAGTGACGTTGCTCCAATCGGATTTAGTGCCGTTAATGCTCACTTGCTGTTTCCTGTCCTGTAACCACGCCCTATTCCATTTTAGAACATCATCTCCAATGCCATGGGCCTCCACTTATCGTATTAGTCTTTCGTAGGGGACTCTGTCGAAGGCTTTACTAAATTCGAGATATA